GCAGGAAACAAACTATCCCTTGTGGGAAAGGTAGAATTCTACGTTATACTTCCAAAGGCTTACAAAGCAAAGGTGCTTTTTTCCATGAACTTAGTAACAAAAAGTTTACATAATATTTAGATCCTGTCCATCGGCCCAAAGGAGTTGTGCGAATCCAAATTGCGTTTGGTCATGACTGAAGGTCAGTGACGAAGATATAGAGTTCCCCTTAGCTCCTCAGACGATGATGAGGAAGATCGTCCGAACGAACTTTGCGAAGTGATTGCTCGTGTTATGAGCATTGTTGAAAGAATGGCCGTACTGGAGGATGACTTAAAGCAATCCCGTGCCGCACAAGGACGCGTTGCCTCAAAGTGCGACCGCATAGAAGCCACTATGCGAAAGATTTTAAGAGAAATGCAAAGACGACAAGTCCAGGGTAAGTTTTCTAAGCGCCTTGTTCACTACATATGGCGCTGTTCTAGTATACGACGCCAATGTTGTAATAAACGGTCTTGAAACTTTCAATTTCCGAGAATTTTCGGTATCTGATGCGCTAGCGCATCATCGCAGGACTTCACGAAAGTGAACACTTCTGAAAAAAATCAGCGTGAAAAACACTGAAAAACTAGCTGTACAGGGTGCGGAAAAAGTATTGTCCCTCAAAGTGAAGGCAAAGAAATCGGCGTAATTCCAGTGTTTTTTAATAAATTTGACATAAATCCTAAGATATGAGTGTATTACAGCATTTTACAAGAACTGGCTAAAAAATTCTGCAATTTCACCCAGCGGCAAATCCCTTTTTGCAGCCTATCCCCTATGAAATCTTTCCTTCCTTTTTACAAATGTGAAAGAAGTGTGAAGTTTTTTGAAAATTTTTTGTTACCATCGTGGATATGAGGAAACTCCTATTGCTTAAGGAATGTATGGTGTCTTCGAAATATGCTGGAAGTAGCTAGACCGCAGCTGCAAGGAGAAAAGTTGGGAAATTTTCCAACGAAATAGCGGCGGCGGCGCAACAGGGTGCGATCAGAAAACGCGGCACAGAAACAGAGTACAATCGTTTATTGACTCAAAATTATGATATAGACAAAGTTCGATGCTTTTTTCATTATTCTTGTCACTTTGTTTGAGTCTGCAATTTCAAACCATAGTTTGAATCCATTTCATTGACCAGGAGCAGATCTGAGTAGCCTCTTTTCGTGAATTTTTGGAATTTGCTTGGGATACAATTTTCCTTGTTTAGCCAAAATTTCAAGTCACTGACCCATATTGAGTATAGAGTTTTGGAGAGGAGATTATGCTCTACCTACTACCTTAATATGGAATTGATATCACTCCTAATGATATAGTTACGGTACAAAATTGCGCCCAAACGCTGCGGCGCATCGTCGATGATGCTGCTCGCTGTTATCACTAGTTCAAATAAACAGAAGAATATCGTTTCAAATTAAACCTATCTTACTCGAATCTACAACGCATCGCCTACATATAGGAATCAAAGAACTATTGATTTTCTCCATCTCTAGGATTTTCTAGGAGCCAAACTGAGGGACAGTATTTTTTCCACACCCTATAGATGCCCAAAAAATTTGTTAAAATGCACTTTGTTCACTCTATCCACCTGTTATTACAGCTCTCTTTGAAGATGACATTAACACATGAAACTGCCAATTTAGGGATGGCAAGAACCGTACATTTGTTTTGGCGATTCAGTGATCACAGAAGCAAATGGTTTGGAAACATGATTGTTGAAAAGGGGAAGAAAAGCTGCTTCAAACAGTCTCTGAACAGTTTGCTCATCTTTGTCCAGCATGTGTTTTATAACAGCTCGAAAACGGAACTTTGGGAACGTCCGAATAGAAGAAGAAATGCAGCAACGGGACACATGCATGTCTAATGTGGAGTGCTTAAATTTGGGCGATGAGTTTAGGGTTTTCAAACGAATTATGAAGTTATTTCAACTTCCGGGCATACAAAACTTACGGGAGCATCAATTTGCTGTGCATTGGAACTGATGCTAATTTTTACTCACCAGCTTGTAGAGCTTGATTTGCTCTATTTATTGATATCCTCAAGCCATCGAAGCGAGCTTCTGGCAAATATGTATTTCAGGTTAGGTTCGAGACACTGCAGTGTCGCAGCTAGCTCAAAAATCTGACACAATTTCTGACTTAGCAGAGTATAAGTTACTGTAGCTGGCTAGCAGAGTATAAGTTACTGTAGCTGGCTCTAATCTCGCATGCAAACGATAACACGTTGTAAAAGTGTCATTTTACAGGAAAAAAGACTTTTAACACTACTATTTTTGGGTAAAATCACAGTTCAGTGCCCAAGGAACGTCACAATACTTCAGCTAAGTGGTAAAACAAGTTTATATTCTTGAGCGGCGTTTTGGGAACAAAAATATATCGAGTTTCATGTGCAGGATGTTTTTCGAAAGATTTTGTTCCTTCATTTTCATGCAAAACTGGAGTCTTCTGCAGTGGAGTATTGCAGTGTAGGAAACTACAGCTCTTTTCGGTGCCAGCTAAAATCATACATTTTGATCCAAACTTTATAAAGTGCCGTTTCTGTAAGCCAGTTTCTGTAGGGCTAAAAAACAAAAGTTTGATGTAGATAACCGTCGTAAGGACCGAACACAAAGCCCAACAGAGCCCAACGTCTTAGCTAGAAAGTAACTTCCGCTGAAATGTTTTCTGGATAGCTTTAGTTCACACAGCACGCACCCACAACTTCCATTCCTTCTTCAAAGATGGATAGTGACATCGTAGTAATCATTAGTTGCACTTTTGGTTCATCTTTTTTCCTTCCAGAAGCCCTTATGAGTAAGCTTAGCGGACGAGGATGAAGTGCGCAAAAAGATTTTCAATGGACTCTCAGTGGCAAGGATGGCCTCATAAGCATAGCAATCGGAAGAACAGTGCGAGTTTTTCAAACATGTCAAGATAAAGCGGCATTTCTAAACTACAACTCTGCAGCGAAGGTAATCGCAGTATCACCTCAAACCCAAAAACGAGTTGCTCCTCCCAAAGGTGGTTTTTGCCTTACATGGTCATTATCGTGAATGATTAAAAATTTTCAGGAAAGCGTGTCGTAGCCACAGGTAGCACCAACACAAAGAGTATGATCAAGGGATTGAACGCGTTCGAAGATGAAGATGTCTAAACAAACGCTTGATAATGTTGCGCATTTGTAAAGCTGGGGTAGTGTCTCAGGTCCTAGTGTGATAAGCAAACATAGAGCTCTTTCCTGGAGATTCTATTCGCTGCTTTCTGTATCAGTTTGCTTGAAAAGCCTGCTCAAAGTATGATGTCTTTTATTGTTCAGTAAATTTTGTAACATCAGATGTTGTTTTACAAACAGAAGAAAGATAGGCGGGTGATTTGAAAGGGAAGAAAAAGAGGACGCAAAGAGGAAAAGGCCATTGAAAGGAGCATAGGCTGCGTTCCTTGGACGCGATCGGGACATTATGGTATCTTCCGCAGGTACTCCCAATTTTGACCGGAGTTTGTCGGTCGGGACACCTGATTTTGTCGCGCACTTTTGTCTCGAAACAAAATCAGGGCCGGTAGTAATCCCTCCGACCAAGCGGCAGGTCTCGTCGGCAGGTAGCTGGCACCTTTTCTGTGAGGTGGCCAGAAAGTGAGACCCCAAATTTAGGCCTCCCAGGCCTTTTTCCAAAAAATTTTCTCGATTAAGAAGCCGCCTCGACTTTGTAGAACATTCCATAGAAGTCTGCGGTTAGAACTCCTCCTTTAGGAGAATATCTGGAAGCATAGGAAGAGCTGCCGGCAACTTCGCGATGTCAGTTGCCGGCAACCTGCCGGCAGTTCGTTGAAATCCGCGAGATGGCAGCTGCCGATAGGTCAGAGAGCACGAAAAATAGCGTGCTCTTTTGAGAGAGGAAGCTGCCGGCATCTCGACATGCCCCTACCTCGTCGAGATGCTGGCACCTTTGCCGACGGCGTCTGTGAGTTTGCGAATTGCGGCGATCACAATTTACGTCAGGCGAAAAAATCAAAAAACTCTACTTTCTATTAAAAAACTATTATTTTTCTCATTATATGAGTTTTTCTTTTTTGAAAGGACAATTTTCTTACAGAGAAAAAATCTAGTCATGCTTTAGAACTATAAAGAACACTACCTTTATTGGCAATCTCTTCTAAATTTCATTTGCACCGATTTCGCTCCTCTCTCGCTCATATCAATCAGCTGTTATTTCAGGTCAAAGTCTCTCACGCAACGTATTGATCCCTCTTACAGGCGGCCACTTACCGGTGCGTTCCTCCTATTGCTGCTGCAATCGGCATTGGTTGCCCGAATGGTCGCATGGTTAACGGGGTGGCACTTGAAGTTAGCGCGCTTAGGTTCGGTCGCGCGCGAGGTAACAGTTTTGCGGCTGTGTGCGTCATCAAAATTTGATGTGCGAAATGATTGCGCACTAAGGTTACATAAGATTATTAAAACCTACAATCACTCCACGAGCTGCCGCCGATGATGGCAATTTTCCCGCGATGTGTGCCTACCTGCCGGCATCTTTGATGCCACCAGGTAGGGTAGATTACTACGGGCCCAGGTGTCTTAATTTTGTCCCGGCAAAGATTTCGGGAGTCACGCAGGCATTCCGTAACTACATCTCATTTTGCCCTGCGCGAGTCAACGGCTAATGTCTGAGTATATTTCCGAAGGTCATCACTTCAAAAATGGAAGAGCAGAGACAATCGTCAGGGCCGAAATGCAGAGTCGTTGCGGGACCCAAAGGATTGTGATATTGCAGTATGCGCGATTGACAGACTGCAGATAGAAACTGTTAAATTATTTACATCTTGTAACTATAGTAGAACTGTGAGAACGCAAGCTTGATTTCTCGCTGCCTTTGCAAAGCCAAATTTGACAATTCTAATCGTTCGCAATACATTTTGAATCAACAGGCTGAAGCAAGTTATGCTCCGAACCCCTTCTTTAAACTTCTATTTGTACCGATCGAAATTTTTTTGCCGTACGTTGAACACCTTTTAAATATAATAATGGATAAGTGTGTGTGTGAGGTTGAGAAATATTAAGTGAAAATCGTTGAAATTACTACGCGTTATAACATCATCCATGTCAACAGCACTGCGGTGGAGCCTGCAAAAAAAAACAAAGGAAACGGATGAGTTTGCATGTCTGAGGAACTTACTCAATGAAACTTGAAAGCTCGACTTCGCAAACGAGCTTTTACTAATTGGACCAGCTTCACCTATCGGATCCTCATCACAAAGCTAAAAAACTCGTTCAGAATTGCGTTCTTTCTTCAAGTTCCATATAACACTTCTATACACTAGATTGCGTAACATGTTTCGAAGAAACCAGATCATGTCTAGAATCTGATCCGACTTTGCTGACCTTGAAACCCAAAAATCAAACTTCAAAGGGGCTAAAGCCGGTACCTCAGCAAATCCTCGACTTTTGGTTTTTCCCCTTACCTGGGGTACGACGCGCTGATTCCGAAAATCTACTTTTTAGAGTGCGAAAACGGCGAAAATCAGCATTTTCTAAGCTCCCTCTCATTTGAATTTGGACGAGTGAAAGGCTCCCGCCATTGTTAGAGATGCAGAGACGTTGTGGACCTTCATATTTATAGCATTGCGGCATGCCACCTCTGACGGCGTGAGGGATATCGCGAGCTCGTCCTAGCGCGAGTAGGAACGGTTTGCGCGCACGGGTTAAGGGGCAATTTTCTAGGCAGAAGTTGCATGCTGTGCGCTTGAACCTGGTCCATTGTCGTGCTCTGGGTGCAAGCAACATTCCATATAAAAATTTCTAGATGTTCGGTTTTGTCGAGCCACTGCCTTTAAGCAACTACCACAATCTCACGAGTACAAGACGCAAATTTTTTTGATTTTTCAAGCATGCCGCTCAAGCGCCTCACTGGTTTGGTAAAACGGACCTTATGTCGCACAACACTCTCAGGAAATACGTAGCACTGTATATTGTTCTTTGGTGGCAAAGTTCTTTGCCGTAATCAGCCTGGTGAAAATTAGAAAAAAGACAGATGCGCTCTGTACTCGTGAAGTTAGAGTATCACTGTATCAATTAATTGTCACTGTTCAACTATAGTGGGTGCCCCAGCCAGCTTCCCACAGGTAACACCGCGACGCACCCGCAGCGCACGCCTTCGAAGCGTCCGACTCAGCCTGTTTGGAAGATTCTTGATTTTTGTTTTGTTTGGTAGCGTTACTCTCTAATCTCCCTATCTTAGGTTCAGCGACCATAGACAATTGCCTATGATGTTCTTATACGTGCACTGAAATCCCGAGCATCTTTGTTTTACGTAGTTCTCTCTTTTTTTTAGCTAATAAGGATTTTCATTATTTCTAACAATAAGCAGGACATAATCAAAGGTTTCTCTTACATAAGCGTGCTATTAGATGCATTTTTTGAATAGTGAATGGTTGAATAGTTGGTTTTCTTGAATGGTTGCATCTAAGTCAATGTGAAAGCTCTCGAAAAGCCAGTTGTGCTTTCTTTTTCGACTGTGCTCGTGTTCCAGCTTACCTTTTTGACTTTCATCTACAGAGAAGTGAAAATTGTTGCCAGCGATGCTCGTCCTTTGGTTCACTTTCCCTTCAATGATTGGAAACTTTCACACTTGTAGCGACTGGCTGGAATCTGCGCTAGTAGAAGTTTCACTTATTATAGTTTTGCCTAGGCTTCTTTCGAGTTACGCTTGGACATTACCACTCCTCATTTCACTCCCATTGTACCTAGAAATGCTTACTACTCATGGGAGGAATGAGGAGGCCGAGCGCGCGCTGCGTGTGCGCCGCGGAGGTACCTATGGGAAGCTGGCCGGGACCCAGACTATACTTAACCTATGGTTGTGCGTGACTGCCATCAGTGGTGATTATTAAACTAGAATTTAGCTTATATTGAAAAGGAAAATGCTTCTTACATGTAAATTTATGATTAGTGATACCGTTTGAAAGATACTGACAAGGAGAATCACTTAACTTAGGTCGGCATTTGAAACGATACACATATACTTAAAATCAGCTTGGAACACTGATTTCAAATATGCTGTCCTTAGCTGCGAAGTCTGAAGCAAGTTACAAGATTCTTTTCGTAACTCTTCGAAGTGATGACGTCTGTTAAGATATTTATCGGAAAATTAACTAGCGAATCAAACAGGAATAGCTAATTTATGGGTAGGTCACAGTCTCACTGTTTGCGTAATAATATCACCAATAATTTGCTTTCGAACATTATTAACACATTGACGATCAGGCAGATTTTTAGTTGTCTGCCATTTGGGACCAAGGCTTTTTAACGGACCAGCCCACTTTATCAACTGTAATTACGCATACAGCCATCTACAGTACGCCTACAGTAGATCTGAAAGGCTGACAGAAAAGGTAGAAGTCATCCCTAAATCCCCCTGCAAAAGAAAGCTCATGGAGTGAGTTTATTTCAAAATAGTAGTCATTTTACCAAATTCAAGCTTTGACAATGGTGTGTCAAGCGGTCCCACGCGGTAGTCATTGCTTGACACACCATGTGTGTCGAGCTGTCGTCAATGTGTTAAATGGAGGCAAAAGTGAAAAGCGTTAGCGGAAGCCGGTTCCCTGTGGCCGTATTCCCTTGAGGTAAATTCTACCTCCAGGTAGCTTTATCACTCATTATCAGCAATTACCCGTATTCGCAAAGCACCTTGAGGTAAATTCTCAATGTATTTTTGCTGATAACGAGTGATAAAACTACCTGGAGGTAGAATTTACCCCAAGGTATCAATGATGAATACTGCCACAGACCTTCTGACTATGACGCTAGACACTTGCCACTTCATCAGGAGCACACTTAAAGTTAATGTTAGCCTTTCGCCTAGACTGCCAGCGGACGGCATAAGTCATTGTAGGACTGCTCTGAAAATCATCGATAATTTCTACATTTCCAAAAAGCAATAATCCTGATTTGCTCGAATTAGCTCCAGTCTCGGTATTATCTTCTTCTAACCATTCTGGATCTCCGTCATTACTCCGAAGCGAGTAACGAAAAAGTCCTCGTGACTCGCTTTAAACGAACACTTCGCAGCTAAGGACGGCATATTTGGAATCGGCGCTGCGAGCTGATTTTAAATATATGTATCTCATTTCAAAAGGCCGACCTAAGATAAGTGACTTCCCTTGTGAATAACATGTAGAAAGCAGTGGCGTACCGAGAGGGGGGGAGGCGGGGGGGGGGGCGTCCCCCCCGAGAACGGGTCGCGAAATTTTTGAAAGTTACTTACATAAGTCATAAAAATGTTCAAAAGATTTATTTATACTTGTAAGTAATTAAAATTTTTAAAATTTTTTAAATATTCAATTTAGCTTTATAAAAAAATTTTTTTCATCAAAAAAAATTTTTGTCGCCCCCCCCCCCGAGCCGAAATCCTGGGTACACCACTGGTAGAAAGTGTTTAGAAATGTGTTCCAGCGTTGTACCTTTACTCTTCTAGGAGACTAGACAAACGAGGAGACAAGACGTTCGGAGATTTCTGCGGACCGATGTTTTGTGGGTCACTTTGACTTTACAGCTTCTTTAAGACATTTATCTGATCTAACAAATTGTGTTCTAGCATTCCTTCGCACTGTCATCAAAATTTTCTACAGGAGCTAGCACAGAGCCCAGCACGAGGGTGGCAAATGGACATCGTTGAAATGACTTCGCCTTTGCCACCAGCGATTATAACGACTTCTCACTTGATCCCGCTAGCTGCGTAGATTGTCCGATTAGAGCGCGCTTTCTTCTTCAGAAGTATCAGCGTCCGTGCTTATCCGGATCCTAATGAGGAAGAGAAGGAGCTTGGAAAAATGGTAATGTATAATAAACTTTACTGTAGAACAGATTAATGTGAAAATTTTTTAGAAATTCATATGAATGGAAGTTTTCCCTACCTTAGGTACATTGGATGGACAATTGTCCACCTAATTTGGAAAAAGTTAGGCAGGCTCTTGATTTACAAGTATTTCACATCTATTCTTAGGGAACGGCCATAGGTTGCCGGCAAGGTTGTCGGTGTTGTCGATGTTGTCGATGGTGTCGATGTTGTCGGTGTTGTTGGGGTCAGAGACAGTTCAAAGAGCGCCCGAAACTTGGAGGCTATCATGAGGTCCTACAACGAGCCGCCCCCTTACTTTGTTCCTTAGCCCAACTGCGCGTACACACACCAAACTTCGTGCCATATCGTCATCTATGCATTTTAAACGAGCTCTTTATCATTTTGTGGTAGTGGGAAATTTCCAGAAAACAGTTTGCCGGAACCTCAGTTGCATTGTTTTTCCACAACTGCACTATGCTTCTCCTAGTCTACGTCCGTTTATACTCCAAATTCTTAGTCATAACGTTATGTGGGCACTGTAACCGATACTGCTGCATGACGAAGGCGCAATATTTTTCGGCGCAAACGCAGCTTTATTAGCCTCAAAACGCATGAGGCGCGAGATTTACAACTGTGAGGAGACACGCGCGCCGCGTTCGCGCCCGCTCAGCTAATACTGCTTCTGCGCCTTCGTCAGCCTTTACATTTAATCACATCAATGTAAAACATTGATTTTTGAGATGGTGCGCGAGCAAGATAATGCTTTTGCATGGCCGTCGTGAGCAACTTGTCGAGAAAGTGTATCATGCATGTAAACGTATATTCACGATCTCTCTTTGCTTCCCTTTCAGAACAAAATCCATCTTGACATTCGCTCATCTCGTGCCGGGCCCTAAGCTAGCATTCTTCTAAAGAACCAAAACTTTTTACTGGAAACATAACCCAAATTTCTTAGAAAGATTTGCCTAAAGCATGGCTTGCGTAATCGCGTTGAATTAGGTTTGGAAGTTGGATTATAAATATCGGGCTCACCTCAGATACTGACTTGTGAAGCTTGACTTTCTCAGCGAAATCTCTAAAGACTTGCAGGCTACAGTACTCTTTACCAACACATTCATTTATTTTCTCAGTGACTGGATAGATTGACGAAGTTTCGTTCGCTCGATAAAGGATCTAGACAAAGATTTGAACAGGGCCTTAAAGAAATCACCATCTTACTTTGAAATACGGCTGATTGTCTGTTTTGTTGTACCATAGCTCGATAAATGCTGCCGCAGAGTACTCTGGGAAGACACCTGGGATGATTACTTTCCTTTCAATCCCCATTATGGCGAAGAGTTGGAAAACTGTAGCGTCATGCTGAAAGCCCTCTTTTCATCGTCATGGCCTAAGTGAGTGCTCTATTCGGCTTTGAACATTTGCTTGTCGAATGGTTCCGCTCTGATTGATGTAAATCTCTAGCTTGGAAACACATGCCATAACTTACCACCGAATAAGCATAGTACTTAAGCCCGTTTATCCATTTGCATCCTGCCTCATTACTATCGCGACAATCAAATTTGTGATTCATACGTGTGACAAGTTCATTGATAAACGCTCCTCCTCGTATCCGCATTAATTCATGTCCGATGTCGAGACCGTTTACCACTATCTTACTGTCTAAAATTATCCACCGATTACCAAAATGAAAAAGCGAAAATCATAAAAAGGAACCGAAAAGTCCGCTTCGGTATCGTATCGTTTGATCGTATAGTTTTGTAATGTTGTCAAAAACGGCATCCGAAAACCAAGGAGCGACGTCTTTAAGCGCTTCTTTGAAATGAATTTGCTAAAATTAGTAATATACAAGAAGAACTGTGTAGCTTACAATATTGCACAAAGGCTTCCCTTCATTATTTTTGAAAGATGAGAGTCTGTTCACACAAGCTAGGAAGACCAAAGCAAGGCGCTTAAATTCTAAATTAGTAAAGTCTTTACTTCAGCCGATGTAATTTTGAGTGCGTGGTTGAAAGAGTGCAGGGATAGCCATGGAATTGTGTGAATTCAGAGGAGCGTAATCGATAGGAATATGAATTCACGTGATTCCAGCAAATATCCCCCCCCTTCCCCTCCCTCTCCTTTCAACAAAGTTCTCGTTCCGATATTCAAAAAATCCAAAGAATGGAAAATTATGCTCGACATAATTGAAGCATCTTGTTCTGATTTTGCGATGATTGAATTTTGAGTCAGCAAGCTCCTCCATCTAATTTCTAGTTTCCTTCCAACTTCTAATCTCCCTTACACTATTGCATCCTTATCTATGACAAAATTTTTAAATGTTTCCATAACTTGCTATGTACCTATGAGCTTATCGAAGAATCCTATAACGTAGTCCTATTAGGTCGTAACATAAGTTTTGTTACACTTCCTTCATTCTACCCTTGAAAATCTAGAAACTTCAGCAAAGCTAATAATTGGCACATATGAGTAATGATAAAGGAGGATTTTTTGATATCATCTCCACCTTCATTTTCGGGTTATGCCTAATATACAGGTAATCTTGTGGCGGCACTCAAATCCTAATTCTTTTTCTTATAACAATCCTCTTCTTCTTGGTTTTGATTTTCGTAGATTTCTTATGGATTTTCGAGGATTTATTGTGCTAATATGAAGGCAGTTCGGAGGTTCAAGCTCTTTAACAACGCGAGTTGGAAATTTGCCAAAAATTTTTCGAGAAAATTCCAAAAATTCAAAAATTGGATTTTTTATGTGATGTACATGTCGAAGAGCTACGACCCTCCACTCAGTGAGAAGGAAAATTCTTTGAGAAAGTTATGAAGATTAATTATATCGAATGTAATACAGCTTATGTTAGACCTGATACTTCTACTTGTTTATTTAATTAGGGTTACTATCACTGAAGCTTAACGCTGCTTAAATCTCCAAATCTCTAAATATGATCTTGTTTGTGGCCCACCTCAATATAAAGAGGATCACGGACATCATGAACATTATCGAGACCGATAGTTTCGCCTGATTTTTCCTTCAGGAATTCGAGTAAGTTTGACACCTGAAAATCTTTCAGTAAGTAAAAAATTGAAGGAGCTTCCAAATTCTGAAACCTCACATCTTCACTATTTTTGTAATCCTGCAATTCCCGAGAGGCTTTTGCCAACTCCCATAATTGCATGCGACGTTTGCAACGTCCATGGATTCCTGCCTTCAAAAAAATTGAAAGCTAACCGTTTGTGATTTTGAAAATCATTTGAGAGGTCAACCTACGTCATTAAACGTTGTATGCACAGGTATAGGGGTATATCCAGCGAGCCAGTTCGAATCGCTTGGATAGTCGGTGCCAGCATTGCCTGTGTCACCGTACATTCCCATCGTATTACACATTGCCGATATAATGGTTCTGTTAACGTCTGTTGAGCGTATGTAAATCTGATAAACAAAAATTCTTTTGGAAATATGCTTCAGATAAATTTCCATCAGCGAAAGGACACAGTACCCACTTCTTTCGAGGAATATTGCTTAGATAGAAATCCGCTGTCAATATATTTTTGTCTTATCGATTTGCCGAGATTGTACATCTGTCGCATTCCTATCTGTAAATCAACTTCTGCAAATATATGACGCAAAGAAAGTTAGCTGTCGGCTTACTGGTGTCAGCTGTCCCCATCCGCCACCGCCAAATGTCCAATTTGCCTCTCGAATTGGGTCGTTCTTGTATGTTCTTGTAGGAGATCGGTCTCCATGCCGCCACATCTGGAGTTGCGTACAATTAATTGGAAAAGTCGACCCGCTCAATTTTCACGAGAAGTTCTTGTGATGCTCTCCCCTCTTCACTCTCGACTCTCTTGAGCAAAATTCAAAATTTGAAAACCTCAGTGCCTTCAATCCTTCGAGTGTGAACCAAAAGCGCTCTTCCTCACTTTTTCTTGGGGTGGTCAGCATGGTGCGACTTTTACTTTGGTTTGCGCGGTCACAAAGTTACGGAAGAAGTGATTCAAGACTCTCAGATTAGTCTTGCACCATTCTGCCGTCTCAGAAGAAAAAAAAACTTCCTAATTCAGGATATTTAATCCCACCTTTCATAGCACCCGACATAATTCGCCGCCTTTCTTCAGGAACTCATGAAAGCTGTTGACTTTATCGAAAGAAGGTCTCTTTTTACACCATTGAAACTATCCTTTACTTTTCGCATTGTTGATCGAAAAGCTCCGGAGAGGAGCGATTTATGTTATTTGGCTACGAAAATCTGCAATTTTGAAGTGCACACATTGGTACTTACCATTTTGAGCATATCTAACATGAAAAGGATACTTGGTGACCCCGGCCATGTGGAATGCGATGTATACCATAAGGTGCACCTCGAAAAGCTGATACTAAATCTGTGCTCGAAATCTGCGAAACGATTATTTGAAGGCAGTTATGAATTTCTTTTCGTAGAAAATTTGCGTACTATTAGGTAGTTAAAATCACCCAATTTGATATATTTTACCGTTTGAAGCTATTGAAGAGAATGCCCTATGCAACTCGGTATCTTCGTATCACTTTGACAGCGTCTCTTCTCTCACATCAAAAAACCTCTCAAGGTAAGAGTTTTATGACAAAACCCATCTCTCAACAGCTTTATTGGTGACCTAATTGCGATTTGAAATTTGTTGCAATACCTTATAATGTTCAAAAATCAATGCACAGTCGCCCAATTCATGTGACATCACCGTAACGTTGCCCAGTGCCATGTTTCTCGTTTCAGAGTGAACGAATTCTCAATCCAAAGGCATCAGTTGGCTCAGCTCGCCGCTTCGTATCTTATAAGCTCTCGCATGGACACAATAGGAGGTATTTTGTGCGGTTCAAAGCTGCCTTACGGTAGACTACTAGCATGCTTATATTGCAGCCACTGGAACCTACCGTAAGCAAAGATCTGAAAAGCTTCGTGGAACCTGACCTGCTAGTGTATCCGAACAGCACTTCTATATATCAAAAGATGCCAAGCTGAGTCGATGGTACCTTTAATCAATTCGTTCACTCTGAAGAGATATGTGGCCACGCATAAGGTCACATGAATCGGGCCACTGTGCTTCGTTTTTTTTCAAAAATTACGAGCGATAATTTGTTTATTAAAAGAAACTATTAGATTGTTGCAAAAATAATGTCCGTTTTGGCCAAGCGAGTTGAAGCAACGAAATTTCGATTTTGAGTGCAGCTGTGTGATGCTGGTAAAATGCTCATAGATTAGACAGAAAATTAATTTTACCAATGTTAGAAAGTACAGAAGAAAGCTTTCCAGTGATGTGCAGAATCCATGTTGAAAAAGAAGTTTCAAAGGATAAAAGTTGTTCGGAAAGTAGGTCCAGAAAAACGGAAACTGTTTTTGCAACAACGTAATAGATATATGGTATCACCGCCTAAGGTCGTATAAAAACCGAACATCAGCATATTTGGCGCTCGTGGGGAGAAGGGGGGGGGGATTGAAAGTGGTTTGGTCTGGCGGTGAGATTTTTTGCCATATAACAGTTTTATGATATACTTTTTATGACCAAAAGAAGTTGTAATGAGTGGATGTCTTTGCGAATAGCTGCAAATTTTAATTTTTTCGGACATGTTCATTTTGTTTCGTATTGAATTTTTGAAATGCATTTTAAAACAGTACTTCGATATACATAGCAAAGAGCATATGCTGCAAATTGATTAGCTTTGAGCATTTGATTTTAACTTAATTTGATTTTGATTTTAAAATTAAGTTAAATTGAATTTTAAGCATTTTCAAAACAATTTTTTGTTTGCTTTGGTGCGAGAAATGTGCATCAACCTAATATATTAAACTAGCCTATGCGGTGTACAGTTGAAACACTTGCTTGGGAATTAAATCTTACAAAAGAAAAACAAACTTACAGCTTGCACCAAAAGCAACTCCATTTCACCATCTTTTATTGCCTGCACTCCAATCCGAAGGGTTACTATCAAAAGCAGAGGAAGCATTTTGAGCTAGTTCTGAAATCCTGAACATTGCAAATTCAAAAACAGTTTTTCTGCCAGAGACGTTGAGCGAGCCATTACGATAGAATCATATCACAAAACTTCAATGAAATACGTTTTCCTATGTGCCTGCATTACATATTTTCACTTCAAAAATTCTTAAATTCCCACATTTCTTTAACAAAGGCGAGCAATATGACTAGATTTGTGTCTTATGCACATATTTGAAGTAAAGTCAATCTACTCTAAGATCCTGTGTGAACTAATGGGAGCACAAAATTCAAGCTTGTTTGATAATTTAGACAACAAAGGATACTTACATTTGTTTGGACAACATGACAACTGCTAATTTTTATGTTACATCGGGAAAGACCAGAACCTCAAACATCGTTTACATGTCTAAAAATGTTTTAAGACCGTTTAGCAGGCTGCCCTACCTTCTTCAATATTCTTTCAGCGAAGCGTAGTGTTTATGTAATAAAAATGCGAAATATCCAATTAACAATTTATGACGGTTATTGTAGAGCTTTTGGGCACTGCTTTATTTGTAAGTTTCCGATAAGTTTTGAGACATCGACATCGACGCGATCTCATGAAAAAACATGGTTCACCAAAGATCCTCAGGAAAGAATTTTCAAGGGCATTATCTCTACTCAAAATGATCCTAAAGCAAAATGTTGCAAAAAGTCTGCACTATTATACAGTTTAACAATTTTCGCAAAGCAATTCGATAATTGAGAGAATTTACAATGAAGGTTAGCGTTGCCGAATTGCCTCGATCTAATAAAAAATTTTTTTCACATGATTGGCAATTCAGAAGAATTTGAGCTTAGATTGGAGGAAGCGAAATGAAAATTACAATTGCTAAATAAATTCTGAGTCATCCAGGCAATCTTCGGAGAAAGCGTGGGTCACCAAAATTATCGGTTTCTGGCTTCTCATTTGCTGTAAAATCTATTTTGCTTTTGGAAGAGATGGGGCATGGCGAATTCACGATTGCTGAAGCAATAAAATTATTTTATTATTGTGATAAAACTTTCCGCAAGCGCAGCATTTTATGCGGTTTTTGAAATCAAATAAAATCTCTGCCTACCTAAGGGACCCGTCATACTTCGCCGAGGAAAAGCCCAAAAGCGCCCAAAAAGCCCAAAAAAGCTCAAAAAAGCCCAAAAGCGTCCAAAGAAGCCCGAAAAGCCCAAAAAAGCCCAAAGGCGCCCAAAGAAGCCCGAAAAAGCCCAAAAAAGCACAAAAGCGCCAGAAAGAGCCGGAATGTAGAAAAGAACTTTTGGTAGAATTCTGACTTATCTTATCATGCGGACGACAGAAAATGACAAAAAGACTCGATTGCGAAGTCAACTCACATGCCTTAGCGCCAAATCGTTCGAGAAGTGTTCCGGCTCTTTCTGGCGCTTTTAGGCTTATTTGGGCTTTTTCGGGCTTTTTGGGCTTTTTTCGGCGAAGTATGACGGGTCCCTAAAACCTTATATATGAATCGACAGCGTTTCTCTACAGCAGTGCGGTGGCCCCGACAAGTTGCCCGTCCACACTCTGACTCTTCCCGCTTTCCATGCATTCTCGTTCCCTGCTCAAAGGCAGTGTCCGGACAAGGTGCGGGTTTTGGAGTTTCAGTGGCATGCGAAAGTGGGCTCCCTCGGACACGCCATCGCGCAAGTGCGAGACCATAACGTTTGACTACAACCAAAAAATATAGTCGAAAAGCTAGGGTGCCAATGCCCCGGAGCGGGGCTCTCCACATTTATTCAAACATGAACCAATCCCGCTCTGCGGCTAGATTTAGCATTGCGGATAACCCCAGGTAAGGATTTTTCTAGAAATCGAGTTACACTGCCTTCAACTGGTATACGCTTGGATTTGACAAGCGTATACCAGCTAGCCAACTAGCGTCATGCTCATCTTTATAATCGTTGAATATAATGTACAGAAAATACCGTCTCAATTTTTCTCTAGTTGCTACCCTGTTTCCGCCCAAAAGCGCAGAGTCAATAAGTAGGTACATGTAAACAGACGGGGGACCTATTCGACAGTTGTCATTATTTCACGCTCTCCTCCCATCCTGTTTTTAAGTATCAGTTTTTTACTTTTTCTCATAAAATATGCAAACAGTGAAATTATTGAAAAAGCAAACTAATGCCTGTCAAAGGAACTTTGACTCAATCCTATGGATTGAGTTAAAGTTCCTTTGAATTCTCGGCGAAAAGTGCAAAAACGATGAATTTGGATAAACCAATCTAAAAAATTTCTTAGAGATTGAAAAATTCATCTCTAACGGTGTTGATAGTCTTTGGACAAGGTTAGGAGTGCAAATAAACGAAGTTGAATTTTTGAAAGATAGAAACTCAAATTATAGAATTTGAGTTTCTATTTTTTCACACAGTGTATTCATACTTCCGTTTCAGAGAATTTCCATATTTTCCAAACCTCTATTTTGAAATAAAAAGGCTTGATAGATGATCAGTAATGAATGAAATTAGTCTACGTTACAATCCCATATAGACTTAGCAGATCTGAAAGTTTTTTGCGTTGCCATAGACGTGGCCATTTTTTTACGAGCAAAAATAAGAAATCTATCGGCGGGTGCGTAGCAAGTGTTACCCAGGCAGCCGCCTGGTGCCGCAGCCAGCCGCCAGAGCTGGCACCAGCGTCGCGGCTAAGCTACCGTAAGCGCGCTCTCGTCGTCCGCAATCTCTCGCAGAGAGATTTTCTTTGTAATGTATATTACTAATAAACTACAAATTTTCCGCTGTGTTGATCGATATATAATATGTGGCAGTAGCTTGACCTCTGAGGGAATTATCGCACCTCAGCGAGAGAGGTGCGAGGCTGCTGCGAAAATCTCTCTGCGAGAGATTGCGGACGACGAGAGCGCGCTTACGGTAGCTCAGCCGCAACGCTGGTGCCGGCTCTGGCGACTGGCTGCGGCACCGGGCGGCTGCCTGGGTAACACTTGCACGCCTCCCATCTATCCGCATCTCTTCAAGCATAGCATTTGTTTCCGCGCAGCTGTTGTCGTCACCGTAACCGTTGAATCTCACAGACTCTAAGTGTGCACACTTTGATCGGAATTTGATTAGAAGCAGAGAATCCTAGTTCGAAATATACGATACAAATTAGACATTAGAATACAAATAGGCGAGGAAATGGCTAATTCTATAAAAACGAAATTTCCATCAGAAAGATCATAAAGGTAGAAGCTAGAAATATGACGCAGCACGATACTTTGGAAAGTGCGCAGTAACTCAGAAGTTTCAAGAACAAGGAATTCAAACCATGTCATAGTAAATGTACTGGAACAGGAAACATTTAATGCTTGTGTCTTGCACTGTATCGTCAAGTAAATATTGACCGACTACTTTCAAGGGAAGTCTTGGATGTGTATCTTAAATATGAATGCCGTTGGGAGACGGTCAAGAGGCGCGCTTTTTCTGGCTGTCACCAACTAAAAGGTCCATTTCTGAGCTATGCAAATTTTCAAAAATCAGACAAGGTGTTTTAGCTTACTAGCTATTCAAAGTTACCATCTGCCAATTTTCGCGGCTTTTGCTGCAAAAATGAGCGAAATACTCACAAACTTCCCATTGTTTGCATTTCCATGGGTTTCTGATTTCCAACGTTCATGTTTTGAATCTTTTCAAGATGATAAGATTAGACAGCCCATGCAGCTATCTTCTATATCTTTTCAGAAAATTGAAAGGCCTCTACAGCGTTATTAAACACTAAAAATGTGAAATCTGATGTCAGCTGGCAATATAAATCGCGCCTCTTGACATACACCCGTAGAGATTACATGAGTACACTGACGAAGTTAAGTCTTACACCTTAAAAATAAATCGAAATGCATTGGAGTACTGAAGCACTTTAGTCATCTATAATAAATTCTGGTTTAGTCTCTTTTTTGGAAGGGGAGGGGGGAGGAGAAAGAGGAGGAGGAGGAGGCGAGGCAGTCGTTTCGAATGAAGGTGTGGCGATAACATGCTTTTCAGATTTTTAACTAATAACCATCAAAGAGGGGCCACCTTCCTGTTTGACTTTATGCGAGGGACCAAGTGACACACACTAGTGGCTCTAGCAACAAATTTTCTTTCGGGTGGTGGGATTGGGAAGATTAAAATTTTTGTAAATGAAGAGGCATGAATAACAACGAGTATATTTCAAAAAGAAGGCATCAACCATGCTGCCAAATTTTTTCTATAGGTTTCTCACATTTCTTGATTTGTGATTTCAAAACTTTTAGAAAGCTGGCCTAAGCACACCAACACAGTTTTCCACGATTTCTTTCTCTAGTTTTTTCAAACCAAAAGCAGATACTCTCATGATGAAATCTCATGTAGTTTCAAAAGTATGGGACCAAATTTTGGGGTGTAGCCTTATTTGCCCTCCATCCTCTCATGCCTTTCCACTACTGTTGTAAAAAAATTATCATAATACTCCTGGTTATGTACACGATAATCCTGTACTTTTGAAGAAAAGTATCAAATTATGCATGCGTTGTTTGGGGTCACATATGTAAAACAACTGCCTTTTTCAGCGTAATACTATTATTACTCGATGAGGTTTAAGATTCAAGGCTTACGTTCGTAGATACTGAAATTGTTAAAAACCTTGTGGATCTTTTTTGGTATTCAGGGCGTGCATGGAAGAAAGGAGTGAAACACTAGCTAGACAATAGACAAATGACTTGCCTATGCAGTGCTTTCAAGATTTGAGATTTGATTTTGCAAAGGCGCTTGATTTTACCCGATAAATTGTAAACGTTAAGTGAGTTCAAATTGAAGCGCAAAAGAGAAATTTGTTCACCCTTTACTGCTTTAACCGCCAGTGTTTATTTATCCAATGATCAACTTGCTTTGGCTTGAGAATCTTAACTGTTTGCGGCTTACAGTATTCTCCTTGCAAAAGCTGATACACTTGTTTCAAGCACTACTCCGTCATGTACAAGTTTATTACTTTATCGATTACATTCACAACCAATTTTAGCTTTGCTTTATTTAACGAGATTGAAACATTTTTGCTAGATCATCGAACTTTGGATTCTTCGGCTCATATCGTCATCCAAATGAAGAGCAACGCGATGAAACCTGCAAAAAAGAAACAATCCACGAACGTTTGACTGTAGACCAAACTTACCAAATGAAATCTGCACTCGAGATTTCGTAGAGTTTGCGCCTTCTTTGTTCGGATCCACTTCACAAAGCTAGAAAATTCAAAACTAGTCAAGCTTTTGAAAAATTTTGTCACAGCTGACAATACGACTGCGTCTAGAATTATGCATGTGAAGCCTAGGCTCTGCACCCCATGCATTGCTTTGGTTGTGCCGGTACTGTGCCAATGTCAACATTGCCAATGTCAAGTTGTGGTGAGGTGGCTCCTCTATTCATTTGGTGGAACCCCAGCGCTCTTCATTAGATAAATGAGCGCCGTTTCTCTCGCCCATAATCATACACACTGTGCCAAAACCAGTCAGAGTTGCCCTCGTGTCTCCTCAGGACAGTGTAGGACGGTTATTGAAAAAATGTTACTTCGTGCGACGTTCCGTGGCGTCGGTGCTGGCCTTCGCTGACAAAAAAGATACACGAGCGTCTTTTGAAGCAGACTCTATCATCGGCTTCCAAATTCGTGCAAAAACGGAGATTTGACAATTCCAAGAGTGGGGTTTTGGCAGCGAGAGAGTTCGGAAAGCAATGACGCAACGCGGATAATAAGCTTATCACATTATCAAATGTCTGCAATGCTTCACTTTGGCTCGTACTCGGCGACTGTTATAGACTGTAGCCTGAGACATGCACCGTTCAATAGCATGGTTCCTTGTGACTTTGATTTGTAAAGACAAGCAGGCAAATTCTATGACAGGTACGCGAAAAGTGCAGGTGAAATCACGAACGCTCGTGCTTAGCTACAGCTCCTTTACCACACCTCTGCTAGAAGACCATGTACTGCAAAGACCACGATTTTCGTAAACAACTGTACCAGAATCATGTTTTCTTTCAATTCAAAGTCGTCAACCTTTTGACCAAAATCCAAAGGCGAGCTTCAGAGCGTAAATCGAAATAAAAGTCAAATAACACCCGAACTTCTCGGAAGACTTGCTCATAAAAGTTATCTGACCTGCCGAATACGAAAGTCATATCTGCTTAGAAATAGAGCTTCATATTTTAGAGTAGTGGTGAGTAGAATTTCGTACGACATAATTTTTCCTGAATTCACCAGCACACTTCTATTTGTTTTGAAAGAAAGTCCTTGACTGCTTTTTAGCGCACAATAATCTACGAAAGCAGCACTATCGGAAAGCGCTTAGTTAATCTTTTATGTGCGATGTGTGCTGCGCTACATCCTTGCGAAAAGGCGTCCGCAGAAAAATTGGAGAGAACTGGAAGCGGATTATACCCAACACATTATATACCAGGATTTGCCTTGACGAGCTGATTACAACGCTTTTTTCTGACTTAGAGTATATTCGTTTCGAAGGAAGTTATGGCGTTGCGTAGTCTGCGTGATTCCGTGATTTCGCAAAATTTCGAGCATTTGGAATTCTCGGAATGTGGCCGAAATCCCGGAAGTCTGCGAAATTCACGGAAATTTTGTACTTTCTATGAGCGGTGTTGCAGCAGTAGTAAAGCTTGTTTTGTAAAAAAAGAACTTAGGTTTTGCCCGCTTAGGACAAACAAAGCTCAAAAATCACTACAGCTTTAGATGCGGCATCTTGCAATCATCAATCTAGCTATTCAAACTCAGTACCGCTTATCCAAACGCTGTTGAAAACAATTCTAAGGTATTTTTCTGAGCGTTCAAAAATGTTTGATGAGAGGGTAGGGAGATTGAACTGCTCCATTTTGGGCCGCATGTGGCTCTGTTGATTCCCAAGAAACATGCAAATAGCATTGCAAGAGGAGGAAAATCAGTTGCTTACGGAGGCGGAGTTTGATCCCCTTACTTCTTGCATTGAACATTCTTGGACGCTTACAAAAATATGTAAAAAAGACGGCTGAAAATGGCGGTGTACTCCCAGTGGCCGTATTCATCAACGAATCCAATGGGTTCCGCAACCCCGTGGTTCGCGATTTCGTAATTTTGCGAACCCACAGGCTAGGATCGATATTCATCATAAGCATTACTGGGTTCGTTAATACACTAGCTTCGTGAATACCGGTTTCGTGGGTTAGGCCTACCCAGTGGGTTCCGGAACCCGCTGGGTTCGTTGATGAATACGACCACAGCAGAATTAAGACATTCACATAAAACAATAATCCGAGAAGATTTGTTTATGTCAAATGGACCCCTTCAAAACTTGTCACAGCTTTAGCTTGTGTAATGCCACTGAAAAATTGGATTGGTCTGCGATTGTTTAAAAACTCACCTCGGGTACTGGTTTGTAGATCTTGACTTTTTCCGCAAAATCTCTGAATACTTGCAAGGTACAATATTCTCTACCGTTACATTCATTGATTTCTTTTGTGATTGGATAGATTGGGGAAGTTTCATTCGCACGATAAAGAAGCTAAAAATGGCAAATGTGCAGCATGTCCACTGATCAAAAATTATTATTTTTAACATCGTACTCTGAAGTATGGCTGATTGTCGGTTTCATTATGCCATAACTCGAAAAATGCAGCCGCGGCGTACTCTGGGTAAACTCCTGGTGTAATTACTTTTCTCTCAATCCCCATTATGGCGAAGAGTTGGAAAATCGTAGAATCATGCTGAAATGCACTCAATATGAATCGATTACCCAAGTTGAAATCCATGGTGAGGACTGTTTCGAGAATTTGGCAAAGCATAAATCATCTAGTTTTTCATTGTACGCGTAGAAAATGCTTGAAATTCTGCATTGTTTGCTTTACATGAAAAATATATATAAAATGTGATATTCAATTCCACGTACGAGATTACATCCAAACATATGGCCAGTGTGGTATAGGGAGATGTTGTTGATGAGTATCGAGTCGGTAAATAAAATCAAAATTTTGGCTCTTAAAGGCAGCGGCTCGGAAGACTGACCTACCTCAGATTTGGACACAGGTGGATAGGAGGCCCTCCAAGTGAACCAAAACAGCAACTTCGCGCCGAAAATGTGAACTCTGCAAGCAGCCAGGGGGGCGGCCCAAGCCAGGGCCCGGCAGGAGGTGGCAATTCAGAAGTTTGAAAACGATACCCCCTTTGAAGCCAAAATTTCTTACGGCTTCCCCTTTGACCCTATTTTTGACCCCCGTAAGTCCCTGACAAACAGGCATACACAAATAATAAGATGGGCGGCCTCAGCGCTTATTATAGTAGTAATACCTGGGTTTCCTGGTCCAGCCCGGGTCATCAAGATTTCAACTCAATGGGTTCATCCACAAAGGAATCTATAAAAAAACATAGGGTCAAGATTTGCACAAACTTTGACGTTTATATATCTAACAAGGAAAGGAAGGTTGGTCGAAGTGGCCTTTTGGAATGAGATGTATACTGCCTTGTAGAGCTTGGAACGCTGATTCCAAATCTATCTTTGCTATCTGCTGCGAGCTTCTGGGCGAGGAGTTATGAAGGTTTTTGCGAGTAAAAATCTGAATGTAGGAGTAGGATAAAATCAGTCGTAACATTTTTTAGTCGGCTTAATTGGTAGTCGGGTCACTCGGTCCAACAAATATTCTTGATTCAAATATACCAATTCACTGCTGCCTCATTTGAACACTGAGAAAAGGTTACGACTGATTTTACCCTATTTCTGCATTCAGATTTTTACTCACAAAAACCGTCATAACTCATCGCCCAGAAGCCCGCAGCAGATAGCAAAGGTAGATTTGAATTTAGCGTTCCAAGCTCTACAAGGCAGTACACACCTCAATTCAAAAGGCCACTTCGACCAACCTTCCTTCCCTTGTAAGATACCACTCATTTATTAGTCAGCTGCGAAACTTTACAATTTACAATAACCGATTGCGATTGGAGCGCACTTTCCGAGGCCGATCATAACGCTGTGAACCCTATTTGGGGCTGTATCGAAGCGGTGCCTTGGTGGTTTTGAAAGCGGATTTGAACATATAGTAATACTCTCGACCTAGTTCACATTTATGTAAAGAATTCGGGAAATTATGTGAAGGGAAGCAGGGAGCCACCCCAGGTGGCTCCCAGGTGGCGCGGGAGCCACCTAATTTCGAAAAACACTTACCATTTTTTAAATTCACATAAGTTTCTCATAATTCTTCATACTTTTTTCTGCTCATGGTCCTCCAACTACACAGCAAATTTGGAGCCATATCGTTACTTGTGCATTGAAAACGAGCCTATTTTGTTATTTTCCTCTTACAAGAATTGCGATTTGAATTCCCGCTTGCGGGCAGGCTAGCGATCGGAGCACAGAATCTTCGCATTGTTGGAATCTAAGTTCATAGGACAGTAGCATCAACAAGGAATGATGAATAAAGAATGATATGTGCACTGTTTGTCGAGCCCCGGACCACAAAATACGACTTCCCCTTTGCTTTTTCGGGCCAAAAACGATATCCAGCTTGTGAAAGCGCCACCCCCGCCGGGCCCTGGCCCAAGCGCCGCTCCCCTTCCTCCTTTCGCTCCCTTAAAGGCAGTACATCGGCAGAATGAGACCCGTGATAAAACAAGGTCACAAGGTAGAAGCCCCCATAGGGAACCTATGGGCCAAAGTTCGATCTTTCTCTGCCACTTCTAACCCCCGAAATTCGAAAGCGAAAGCAGCGCTCATCTCCTGTCCTCTCCGAACCCGATCACCCCATGGACGAGTGACTTCCGCGGTCAGAGCGCCAGCCGCAATGCTATAAGCATGAGGTCCCGCAACGACTCTGCGTCTTCGCCATGACGGGCTTCCGTTCACTCGTCCATGGGGTGGGCGGGTTCGGAGAGGACAGGAGATTAGCGCTGCTTTCGCTTTGAAATTTCGGGGGTTAGAAGTGGCAGAGAAAGACCGAACTTTGGCCGGGGGTGGTGCAGGAGGAACCAAAGGGATGCCGCCTGTATCCGCAGGAGATAACTGTGAGCGCGAGCGCTGTGGAGAATATTTTGGTAAGGATCCAAGAGAACTTCGCAAGGATATCCCATAGAAACAAATCTTCATAACTTTGCCTGGAGATGGCTTTGAAAAAGTTGAAAAACAGATTTGTAATGCAAATTGGAAGGCGCATTCACTGGATCCAAAAGTAAGCGAAAATTTGGAATTGTAGCGGTGAGAAAAGTTAATTTTCTTACAAAAAATTTTATTGTTTCATGAATTTTGGAGTTACAGATTGTTGAAGACCGGGATTTTCATTAAAATTCATTCTTTTTTCTTCGAGATAAGGGATTGTTTTGCCTTTTGATTCAATGAACCAAAGCAATCAAAATTTCCTAAAAACACATCTGGAGGCTTGAGTTAAGATGCAATTACGGTTTGTCTCATATTCAAACCTATTCTGGTTAAAATTTGGACATTTGAGATTTCAATGGATTTGCCATTAAAACTATGTCGGTATCTTTTTGAGGATGCACACATTAAGAAAAGATTATCAGTTTATCACATGCAACAACTTAAATAACATTATTACCTGATTATCACTCCCTACTTTCAACTTCCAATCGAGAAATTCATCAAAAATTCACTTAAAATCTTTCACAAAGCATTGAACTTGCATTTCTTCAGCTTGTAATTGTGAATTCTGAAGGCTCAGTTTTTGGTAAAAATAGAACTCGAGTAGTGAGACAGAGTAGTTTATCTATCCGGTATACCGGATATTACCGGCGTATTACTGAAAAATGCGCATTTCAATACTGATTCCAAATCTGTCCTTCATATACTTGAAAGTTAATTCCAAGAAGAGTTATAAGAGTTTGTTTCCAATGGATGTCCTCTACAAGTTTCCCTGGATCCTTGCCAAAATCTTCTCCACAGCGCTAGCACTCTTGACTATCTCCTAGGGCTACCGGCGGCAGGCCTTTGGTTCCTCCTGCACCGCATCCACTTTGGCCCATGGTTCCTTATGAGGGCTCCTCCCCTGTGACCTTCTTTTGCCACGGGTCTCATTCTGCCGACGCACTGCCTTTAACTCCCTGTTCGGACGAGTGTTCCCGCTAGACGACGCAGGACCCCCCAACCGCTTTCCCGCATTGTGCATGCTATACAAAGCCAAAATTACAGGCAGCAGGGTCTTCGTGCCAGGGCCTCCCGACTTTCCTTTGAAAATTCTCGCCCGAGCTGCCTTTTGGAAATTGAAAAAACGCCCCGAAAAAGGCCTTTTCACCCCTTTTAAAGCCCAGATTCGGGATCTACTGGTCGAGAAGGCCCAAAACATGCAAAAAGATGGAAATGCAAAATCCATTCTTCCGTTACTCATGCAATTAATTTGTCACAAGAGCCACTCTAAAAATTCGATAATTTGCCTTGTCTTGGATGTGGCTGAAAAACCACCTCTGTGTGTAAACCAACTTCATATCATTAATGAGGAAGTCTCCGAATTCCATTGATCTTGCCGAAGAAATATTAGAAATTGGAAGAAAACCCTGTTTAGAGGACTGGCCACAGCTATAGAGAGACACCCCTGCTTTTTTGTTTCAGTACTACATTTTTTAAGCTTACAAGGGAGTCCGTTTGATCAAAGTGGCATTTTCACATGAAACTGATATGAATATAAAGAGCATCGAACGGTGATTTCAAATCTGCCTTCGTTATCTGCCGAGCGCCTCTGGACGTCGAGTTATGAGCGTTTTTTGAGTGAAAAAATTGAAGGCATAATTGGAACAAACTTGGTCATAATTGCTCAAATGCTTCAAGGTTAATTATCAGAGCACTCCATTTAAACAATACCTTTGTTCAAAACACTCGTACTTAACATGCCCTATTTGAGCGCTGAAAAGACCGGAAAATTTGATTTTCCCTAGATCAACCATTCATTTTTCGCACTAAAAAATATTCATAACACGTCATGCAGAGACGCTCCAGATAATGAAATCAAATTTGGAACCACCGTTTATGCTCTTCAAAGTGGTATGAGAGATTTGAAAAAGATTTGAAAAATCTTTCTCATTTGAAAAAGCCACTTTGGCTAATCGGACTTCCCTCGTTAGATTTTTTTTGTAAAATTACAGCATCAAAATATGATACATTTTTACACATTGCTGTCGCCTTTTGAAAGAATTCATACTGTTTTTGCTTCAAAATGCATAAAAAGTTACAATGTTAAACTGGTAGTTCACTGAAATGCAAGCACCTATTCAAGCCTTACGAAAGCACTAGAATTTACCGAACCTTTGCAGTAAATGCAATAAAAGGCGCCTGAGTCAACCTTTGCGTAATTGCTAATTAATAAGGAGCCTCAACATCACTGATAGACGAGCTTTCGAACACAGGAACTTGAGTTCTAATGCCCGAAAAACTATGCAATGTGCCCAGTGCGTCGTCTATACAACGATAAACTCGTGCGCATTGCGAAAACATCATCACGGCCACTGGAATTTCTGCTGGCGCAGCTCCTACATAAAAGGGTGACGCACTGTACATTGACTATGACCCGCTCTAACCACTTGATCGGACAAAAAACCGCTTGAAACTGAAATTTTGATATTTCTGACAGTTCCAAAAAATTCAGCTTGATAAGGAGTGAACGGAGTAAAATTTGGAGTCATATTAGATCGCTGTGCATAAATGAACCCGCAGGTAGAGCGTTGTAACTCCGATTGAGTCCTCGCGAAGATTGACAACTTTGCGTGAATACGTCGTCGTTCAAAGAACATGTCACTTTCTGCAGCAGTTGTTTAGAAATGTTCACGTTCACTTTGGAAATCGAGTTTTGTGGCTAAAAAGCGTGCTTAAACCCATGGTAAGATCGAGGTTCGTTCATTAATATTAGCGACTACCCAAGTTTGACACAAGCGCCATTCGCCGCATCATTGCAAAGGCTTAATTGATCCTACTCAGACAGTCGGTACCATAGCTCTCCGGAGGACAGTCGAAATCTGGCAAAGCCGCAGAGGACCCAATTGACCATTGAGAGCGGGGCGAGGGGCGGTCCCTTCTTGTAGGTCACGGTGACGTCACAAGCAGGCAAATGGGACCCCTCTCCGGGACGCGCAAATCTCTGCTCCGGAGGTACGCCAGATTTGGGAGAGCCCCGGAGCAGAGATTTGCGCTCCGGAGGTACGCCAGATTGGACACTTCCGGAGCACAAAATGGCAGGGCTCCGGAGCACAAATGGGGGGTCTCCGGAGCATAAATGGGAGGTCTCCGGAGCACAAAATGGGAGGGCTCCGGAGCACGAGTGGCAATCCCCCGCTGGGGAAACCCCGCGGCTCTGCCATTTCTGCTCCGGAGATATGCCGTCGACTGTTTGAGTAGTGCCTCCACCAGAGGTGAATAAGTGCTTGGAAATCAGTGAACTAGCAGCTTTTTTGACACAATGTGATTTTTTGTTCAATTTGAAGCAAAAAATACCATTGAATTTTTTTTAAAGAGGCGACAGCGCCTGATAAGAAATGTCGCATGGTTTGATGTCGTAACTTTACAAAAATTTAGGCTTGAAGAATGTAATGTTGCTTGAAAACAGGAGGTGGCTCTTAAGCTCTAATGGTGGTAAGACCAGCCTCCTAAACACGTTTTTTCAATAATCCCGGCCCAAACTATGATTTGGCCGTCCTGGTTGATAATGATATAACGTTTTTTCACACACAAAATATTGGATTTTCAGACATTCTCATTACCGTGGTTTTTTAGGGTGTATAGCTATGGCTATGGCTGTGGCCAGCACTATGAGAGCAATCATGATAGATCTTGTAATTTTGGCAAAAAATAAATACAACACTTACCACGGAATAAGCGTAATATTTGAGCCCTTTCATCCATTTGCATTCTGCTTTATCGCTTTCCTGACAATCGAACTTTTGGTTCATATGTGTGACAAGTTCATTGATGTAAGCCCCTCCTCGTATTCGCATCAACTCGAGTCCAATATCAAGACCGTTCACCATTATTTGCTGCTCTAATTATCCATGAGGTTTTTGTTGGGGAGAACGACACACTCACCAAAGAGGCCATTTAGATAACGAGTTGTTTGATCATAGATCTTGGTAATCTCTTTGAAGACAGTGTCATTGAACCATGGCGTGACATTCTTGAGCTTATCTTTGAAATGTATCTGCTGTAACGAATTATTGATGTGAGGTTAATTTGAAAAATCTCTTAAAATGTTTTTCAGATTTACTGCAACGTTACTTCTCTTTTTTCATTCATTCTACTAGGTCGGTCCGAAAGTTTGTGCCGTTTTTTCACAACTATTCTCAAATCAATCAGAATAGCGATAGACAAAAATTCTAAGCACTGTTCTATGCAGAATTTCTTTCTCTTTTCAGTAGTGATGTTTTTGTTCTGATTCCTTCAAGTCCTATCATATAATTGCCACAATCTCCAACCCATGCATTTTACGTACCCTAAGTTCAGCTCTTTTCAAAAATTTTCGTTCTAGAATTTTTAAAAAGCTTGGTAACAGTTGGATAGTTAACAAAAGCTACGAAATCCATGTTTGGCATAGTTGGCTTTCAGAATCCATGTTCGACTACCCATAAACCTTGGCATAGTTCAGTTTTTCTGGACTGAATTCTTAGTAGCGTCCAAGATCACCTTAACAGATAATAGACTCAGTGGAAGCAGACCACTTATGTCAAAAACTGTACTGCCTTACTTTTATATGTATCTAGTGACCCAGCCCTGACCTGTCAATCTTGGACGCTGCTAAGAATTCAATCCAGAAGAACTGAACTATGCCGAGATTTATGGATAGTCGAACATGGATTTTGAAAGCAGCAGCGTCAACCAAAACGCAAGATTAAGCCAGTGCTCACCTTAACAGATAATAGACTTAGTAGAAGCAGACCACTTATGTCAAAAACTGTACTGCGTTACTTTTATATGTATCTAGTGACCCGGTCCTGACCTGTCAGGTAAGGCAGTACAGTGTTTGACATAAGTGGTCTGCTTCCACTAAGTCTATTATCTAGGTGAGCACTGGCTTAATCTTGCGTTTTGGTTGGCGCTGTTGCTTTTTAAAAGGTTGGACTCTTTTCTTTAGTCGACAGGGTGTTTGATCGGATAGTTCACTCATGTTTTTCGACTTTTCAGACTCTGAAGAAGGCGAGTTGGCCGAAACGTCAGTCTATATATTGTATTTGTGGAATAAATATCTGTACCAATCTTGGACGCTGCTAAGAATTCAATCCAGAAGTTGGCTTTCAGTATTCGTAAAAACTTTTCTAAAAGTCTTCACATTTGTGAAGTCGTAAAAAATGCAAGCGATCCAAACACTAGGAAATCTTCGCGAATTTCCGAAAATCGATTATGATTAACCAATAATTTCCACAAACACATGAGTTTTTTCTATCGCCTCGAAGTACTGATTTTTGACATTTTCGGGTGCAGCTGGGACGGATTGAAACTAAATTATGGCTTTTTTATCGGCCTTACAAATCAGAAAAAACATCTTTCAAAAAGGGGAGAAAAAGCTGCATCGGATGGCACCTAGCTCTTAGCCGTTTGATGTGCTACATGGTTTGAAATAAACAAATATCAATTTTGGTACCATCAAAATGATAATCTCAGGAAATTTGAAAGGCCAGCCATCGATGTCAAAAATCGTATTACATTGCATTTTGTTCACTCTATTCAACTGTTATCAGAGCAACTCAAAAGTCCTCAGAACTCAGAACGAAAATGCAAAAATATAGCAAAAATTAGGGTAGGTAAAACCATTGGTTGAGGATTCCAACCATACCTTCGATAGTCAAGAGACAGAGCCTAGAAAGTGATGGTTGTTTGAGTTCCTGCCCCCTGTAAAAAGTGAAGGTTGTTTGAGAAAATAGATAATCATATGAAGCAAATCGGGAAACGTGAAAATTTCATAGAAAACAGAGGTAGGCACACCATCAATTTTGGATCCTTTAGCTTGGTGGTTTCTTACGCACAGGTTTCCTCTTCAGGATTGCCGGTTGAATTGGGTAGCAGCAAGAACAAAGTTCTTTTCAATTTAAAAAAAAAACACTTTTTAGCTGTGGCGCTAGCTGGGAGACCGAAAGAAGGGAAACTTGTCAAAACTGGATTGAACATGCCATACACGAATTTTCTTTTCTGAGAAGATATGTTGCACATCGACGCCAATACGATTTTTGATGCGTCCTTTAATTTTCCACCTCCGCACTGTCGCTCATGTATTCTGCGACGTTGTCTGGATTATTCTGCTCATCATTATGAGCAAGTACCGTCCCAGCTGGAAAAATTTTTTTGCAAAAGCACTGAAAAAGAACAAGGTAAGGAAAAACGCATTTTTTAGTAATTTTCACAAAAAAACCGGCATAAGTAAAGAAGTAAGCTAGGCGACGTTGTCTACATCATAGACAGAAACAAGACCTATCGGCTACACAAAAAAACCGGGTGAAAAGAGTTGAACTGAAAAAAAACAAGAGGTTTTCGAAAACGCCGTTTTTTCCAGATTTCTTGTTTTAGTCATAAAAAGGAGTCTTGCGACGTTGTCAGCGTGAAAAGAAATTAAGAGCTTTAATATGATATATAGATTGTCGTAATTGGGCTCCGAACAACGAAGAAAAGGGTACCAGAGCCAAATGCCCCGCGCCCCGCATTTGAGGTAGCGAGGTAGCGCGCAACCCGCGGAGACGCAGACGAGGAGCGCAGACAGACCAGAGCCGGCGGGGCATTTGGCTCTGGTCAGTGATCTCCGCGGGTTCATAACGAAACCCTATAACATTATATATCGTTGTGATCCACAAGAGACGGTCAGGAGCACTGACAACGTCGCGGGTCTTGAAAATCACTCCATAACGAGATAGACCAGCAATTATGTGGCAACTCTCTGCGCAAGATTTGAGCGCATTTCTCGTTTTTATTGAACTCCAGCGCTTTCATGAGCTTCCAACGCTCAATCGCAGTCTGGAGAAAGGGTAATTGAGAAGTCCTATCCTAGTTTCTAATCGTATTCTTGAATAAAAACCTTCTTTTCAACAACCATAAAAACGCAACCCTTCGGTTTTTTGAGCTTCTTTTGGATGTCACTACTATTTGCCTCATTCACATTCTCCCTATATGGATATGGTTATGTCATTAATTATGTCATAATATCCGGGGCTTTGCCCGGATGACTTCTGTACTTCTCTTCAGGTGAAGGTTGTGTTCTTTCAAGACACTCGAAAGTGAAGGTTACCAGAGTACGTGGCTCTATGTATCGAAGGTATGATTCCAACAATTTTTCAAGCGGACATTGCAGGAATCCGAACAAAAACATTACTGCTGGAAAGAGAAAATAATTCGGCATAGAACACTTCTTCAAATGTTTATCTATTTTTATTCTAAATGATCTGGCTATAGGTCTAAAAAGGCACGAACTTTCGGAGCCACCTAATAATTTTAGCGCTTTTCAATCAATTATATCCATTATTTTGAAAAAGACCAATTCTTTTGTTTCCTCCCCAACTTTGCTCACGCTAGTGCATTTCTAAGGCTTACGCTTCCATCTACCCTAATTTCACGTGTATAAGGCGCACTTTTTCGATTTTTCAAGCCAGCCGCTCAGCCGCTTTACTGTATTCCGGAAAGGAATCCTTACATCGCAAGATTCTCTCAAGCAATATACAGCCCGTTATAGGATCTCTTGGTTGTAAAGCCCCTTGGCGCGTCCGGGATGGTAGACTTTGGAAAAAATTCCCCGCGCCTTATACGCGTGAAAATAGGGTACTTTAAATTTGATTTGCAGGCTTCGTGCGCATTTACCTCAATATAAAGCGGGTCACGGACTACGTGTACGTCATCAAGATGGATAGGTTCTCCAGTTTTTTCCTCTAGAAATTTAAGCATTCTTGATACCTAGGTGATAGTTGAGGTAAGAAGGCTTTGAATTCTATTCAAAAATAAACACTTACATCATCTCTATTCTTGTAATCTTGCAATTCACGAGATGCTTCCGCCAATTTCCACAATTGTACGCGCCGGTTGCAGGGCCCGTCGACAATACCTACCTGAGAGATTTTTCTGCAATTTCACAGATGTTCTCAATTCTATGAGATTGACATACATAATCGGTAGGCTTGAAAATTGTGTGTACAGGGATCGGAACGTATCCAGCAGGCCAACTATCGGTTTTATTGGGATAGTCTGTACCGGCAATACCCGTACCACCGTACATTCCCAAAATGTTGCTTAAAGCTGATATGATAGTCCTGTTTGTGTCTGTCGAGCGAATATAGATCTAAAGTTCAGAGTCATTGATGTATATCATGTGGTGTAAAGATGGGGTCAAAGAAAAACTTTTAATCCTGACTTCTTTTGAAGAGTAACGCTTGCTTAGAAATCCGGTTTCGTTGATATATCTTTGTCGTATCAGTTTACCGAGATCATACTGTTGTTGCATCCCTATCTATAGCGCAGCTTTTGCAAAGGTTTGCTGAGTAAGGAATTCTTGACCGCACTGTTGACAACTGTCCAAATCCGCCACCGCCAAATGTCCAGTTTGCCTCTCGGATTGGATCATTTTTGTAAGTTTTAGTTGGGGAGCGGTCTCCGTGGCGCCACATCTGAACTAATTACATTCAATAAAGATTGTAATAGTTTAGAGTGATACTTCATACTAGCAGAATACAAAAAGTCTACCTTGTGAATAGCTGTGGTTTGAATTCGCTCAATAAAAATGTTTTAGAAGTAAAAAACTCTCAAATCTTCTGCGCTAGTGACAAGGAAACATAAGTCTGAGCGATGGAAGGCTCAAGGAAACGAAATTTTTTGAGAGTATGTTATTAATTTGCTGATGAGGTAAGAGGTGCCAGGTAGAGCGCTATATATCGCCGAGAGCAAGCGGTCCCACGCGGACATCCGCAACAAAGCCCGCAGCTCACATTAGAATCATTACAGACTTGTACCGACTGTCTATGTGGGGTGGAGCCCATCGCCGACAAATAGTTATTTGCTCGAGGGTGCGTAACGGGAAGATTGGAGATGGTCACCAAGTTCTTCAAATGGTGTACACGAGTCCAAAATACCCCATCACATTTGTATACATTGGAATGAAATGACAAACTTTCTAAGGGCAATCGTTTTACGGGAACATGTTTTTGTGGCAAACTCTCTTGCTTTTTTGTGGCAACTCCTAGGACGCAAAATTAACGAGTACAGAGAGCATGCTTTTCTCAGAATTGATGGCATCAAATAGGCCAAAGGATAGCCAATTCAGTGACCTTTTACCTTGCTTTTTAAACTTTTCTTCATTTGGCAAGAAAAACAAACTGAATGGAAATATTCACTAGTCTGTAAAACTGGATAACCACTGTTCTCATGAAAAAAAACTTTCTTTAATGCATGTTGGGAAGCTTTTCTAATATTATATTTCAATAAATGAAGTTTATCTAGGATATGCGCATTATCGTTTGCAGAAAATTCCTCTGAAAAGTAGTAGGAGCCCAAAAAATTTGTAGATGAACGCATGGTGTCAATAAAACATTCTAAACAAACAACAAAAAAAGAGTTTATAGTGCAGTTCCATTTGTATTGTAGGCCTTCCTTGAGTTCTTGAAACTCATTTTTTACCTCCCCCTTAACCCCTCCTTCGCTGGAATAAGTTTCTTTTGCATCTTAAAAGTACATACCTGAAAGAGCACCTCAGTTTATCGTTAAAGTGAGGTGTTTGCAAATATGTAAGGAAACAAAGCGAGGTTTATGAATTTGTGGACGGAAATGAGGTTTGAACAAGTGAAGACAGTGATAGATTTCCTACATTATCTCTAACATCCAGGTCATGATTTAAAGCTATGTTACACTCGAATTTTCGCCCAACTGTGAAAAAATAAACTTTTAGAAGGATAACTCACAGCTTGCACTAAGAGTAATCTCATTTCACCATCTTTTGTTGCATGCACTTCAGTCCAAAGAAGGATTGCTATCAGAAGTAAGGATAACATTTCTAAATTGCTCTAATTTCATAATTGTAGTTTGCTTAGAAGCCAATTGAAGAATGTCACAAAACTATAACTATCAATGACAACAATGCCCGTCAAATGGCACAGTTTTTCTGTCACTAATCTTGTTCAACGGACACGTATGCACAGCAGATAAAAATTGTGTTGAAGCACGCGCTCCTAATCTGTGCATCTTTGACAAATGAACGAATAAGTTCAAAGCTTCAGGGGTTTCAGATCAAAGGCACGTGATAGACAGAACATTTGAATATTGAGGTTTTGGACCACAGGGTGGATGTAGAAACACAGGTCTTGTAAAATCCAGTTGTCCGCTCCTCACTTTGAACACCATCGCGCGGAGCGGCCGGAGACGGGGTCCCGACGCCATATAGGCTACTCACAGGCGATAATGAGCGCGCACCTTTTTCGGACGTATTTTGCAGTCTTCTTCAATCTAGGGTAAGCGAAATTCCAAGTATTCCAAGTGGAGCAGCGCGTCCGCACCACCATTGGCTCAGCGAGATATTAAAATGAAGAGACGCAGGCAACAAAACGGTGCGAATCATTGCGAAGCGGTTTTCCGCCAGTGCAGTTTCCGCTAAACTGAGCTGAAACTTATTAAATTTTCACGAAAGCGTTTTTGACTAAAACGTCCTCTGGGTTGGGTCTGACTGCGACGCGACGCACGCAGCGTACGCGCCATATCTCGATGTATGAGCGTATGACGCGTACGCCGCGCAATCTAACCCAACCCTGCAATAGTGAAAACAACAATGATGTTGATCAGAAATTCTGTGAACGAATAAGACCGCCTATAGTGCCTCGCGACAACCGCTTGCCTATTATAGTTGTAATGAACAGAAATTTTCGCCGAATGAACGAATATCGAATAATCAGTTTTTGAAGGTTTTTCAAACGAATGAATATCGAATAACTGATTTTCGAAAAATTTTCGAACGAATGAATATCGAATTTTTTATTTTTGAGAATTCTTCGAATGAACGAATATTATTCGACTTTTGATTTTCATAATTCGAATTTGAATATTCGAATATTGGCACATTCCAATATTCGAATGAACGAATATTTGAATAACCGAACTTGATCGAATACTCGAACTAATTTCAAATAAATGTTCGAATATTATTCGAATATTTGAATGCAATCGAATATTCGAATATCCGAATAAATATCTTTCAAAACTACTTGAATGAGCGAATATTCGAATAACCTTTTTTGAAACTCCTCGAATGAACGAATATTCGAATAGATCATTTTTCGAAATCGTCGAATGAACGAATTATTCGAATAGGCGTTTCTCATTTATTTCGACTATTCGAATAATCGAAATGGACTTTCTCGAATATTAGACTACTCGAATATTCGAATAGTCGAATATTTCGAATAAACTCGGAACACGAATATTCGGTGCTAACTGTGTGAGCTTCCGTATACCTCAGTGGTGGGAGCTGTTGCGGTGTACAGAGACTTGTTCCTGAGATAGTATAACCGAAGATGGTGGGAGTTAGCATGAGTCCCGACGGTAGCTTTAGCCTGGAGTAGTGTGTTCTATGATGCTGCTGAGGAAGTCCTGGCCAATGAGGATGTCCGGCGACACCGTCGTTTTTGCCAGTGTTTGCTGGGCAATGGTAATCTTAGCCTTGGAAATGACGGTCTGCATCCGTGAGAAACGCTGTCTCTAGCGGTGTCGTGAGCTTCTGCTTCATGTGTACAGACATCTTTTTTGGTGTTTTGGGGCCTTTCATGCCTCTCAGAATGACACATACTTCGTTGGAGTTAAAGAGTTTCTTGTAGCTCGCCCATTCCTGACGTGGTGAATGACGTTGTTTGAATGACGGGCAGCTTAAGCTTTTCGCTGAGTCCTGATTTAATGAAGCTTCGCTGGGCACCAGAGTCAAGCAGTATCGTAATGGGTTGATAGTCCCATTCAGCTTCGTTGAAAATCATTGCAGACGCGATTTGAAGTAAGCATTGATTGTATACAGATGGAGATTTGTCCAGTGTAGTTATCTCCTGTCCATTTTTGCGAGTTTTGTGCTGCTTGCATGTTGCTCGCTTGTTGACGATTTCGAAGGTGGTTCTTTGCAGTGTCTTGGAAACTTGCAAATGATGATTGTAGCTAGTAGGCTCGAGATATCCTTTCTCCTCTTCCCATTTCGGACCGTCATGACTTGTGTCCTGATGGTTGCTTGTTTGTAGGGTACTCGAAATGAGTGTCTCCATCGTTAACGCAGTCGTTCCCCGCAGAGATTTGATGTCGTCGATCGTGTCTAGGATCCTAGAAACATCGAATTGATCTCCACTTGCGGCTTCCTTCTGTATGACGGTTGCGCAGATGTCTTGAGGAAATTTGGACAAAATTATTCAGCGCCAAATTCTGTCTGCGCTCATCTTCATTCCAGTTTGTTCCAAGTGGATGATCCGTGAATTGATTGCTTCGAACGTTTCTCGGCAACTTTCGGGACTGTAATTTGCTCCTTGAAGTCGTTCGATTTCGTTGATGAGTATGTCTGCCATGTTGGCAGAGCGATCGAAGTGCTTCTTTAGAATGTTGACGGCTGTCTGATACTTCTCTCCGACTACAGGGATGCAGTTCAAAGCAGCAGCTGCTTCTCCTTTGAGCGCTTGCTTAGAAAAAGGAATTTGTCGCCATCCGATAAGTCTTCGTCGCAGTGAATAAGTGAATCGAACACTGTCCAAAAACTGTTGAACTCTCTGAAGTTGCCAGAGAATGTAGGAACCTCTAGGAGCGGTTTCCGGATCCTGATCTGGCGTTCCGTTGTTGAGCCTCTTCCTATCTCGCTGTCTGGCTGTTTCGGAATACTAGGAGCAGGCGTATGCAAAAGTGTCATTTGCTCCCTCAGTTCATGTTGTCTGAACTGTATTCTGTTTTGCCATTGAACTGCTATCACTTCCAGATCGAGTGCTTCCAGCTCCAAATGCTTGCTAAGTTCAACCATCAGCTTCTCTCGTTCCTTTTCTTCACTTCGTACACTAATGTACTCAATGGCAGCGTTGAGCTGTGTTTCTTGCAATTTCACAGCGTTTTGCAAAGAATTGAGGAGATTTGTTATTACTCCTGCCCTTTCTTTGATATATTCTTCACATTCTGCTTTTGTCGTTGGAAATGTGAAGGGGACGTCTACGTTCTCCACTTCGGACTCGTAGGATTTTACGAGCTTGCAAGCGTTGTTGATTTTGTGTTTGAAGAGTTGAAGAGCGGCCATTTTTGCTATACCGACTTCTATTTTCTTCTCTTCCTTAGAAAGCTGGTTGCTTCGAAGGTACAAGTTAGCGAGGTTTCTTTAACTTGTAGACGTATCTTCTGGTGATCCGTTGAGTAGAGGCAGCTGTGGTGCTGGTCTGAGTCAGGGCCCGGCACGAGTCGGTTTCTGGCGTTTCTGAAAACGAAGTCTTCCATGACTTTCGGAAGTTTTACGAAGTCCCCTTTGACCTATTTGCTTGGGAGAAGATGAAAACAAGAAATAGTTACTAGTCTGAAAGATAAAACGTAGGATAAGAGTGAAAATCCAAATTGGAGCTGAGTACTACGCATGCACAAGAGTTTGGGATTGGAGCGCGATATTTTACAAAGCGATATATGAGAAAATGAAGGCAAAAAACAAAGGAAAGGCAATGATATGAAAATGTTTTCATGCTCAGGGGTAGATTTTTGACCGGGGAATCCGTCCATGATAGAAAAATCCAAAACTTATGTGAAGTGACAGAAATATATGCTCCAGACGATCTCAGATCGTCTGGTGACCGTCTGGAGACCGACTAATTTTGGGAAAGGTAATACTTTACATAAGTTTTCAAATATTTTTACATAATTCTTTTGCAATTATTTTTAATGTATACAGTACAATTTTGGTGTCATATGACTTTGTGTGCACTGTAAACAAGCAATTTGTTTATTTTAGCCTTGCTTTCAAATTGCGTGCACTTTTCGCCATACACGATAGAGCATGTCAATCGTGTGATAACCTGTCTGAAAAGCTTGTATTCGACTAAATGGCGCTTATTCTTGGTGCTGGGCCCCGAATCGTCAAAAACGATATCTCCTTTGCTTTTTGCTCCAAAAACGAAGTCCAGCCTGCTTCTAGACGATCTGTGCCGGGCCCTGGTCTGAGTTGCAAGCGTGCCGGGGTGGCTTGAACGCTGGCTGACGGTAAGGTGGCTTGGACCTTGACCAGATAAGGATTGGGTTTCAATCTTCTTAAGTCAAGTGTTCTTGGTCGAACTTTGACTTTTGGCAAAATGAGCGCTTGTGACTCAAGTTACCTTCCTTTCAAATCTCATTGTACTGATCTCCGGTCCTTGGATAGGATTCGCGAGAGATCAATGAGATTGATTGGAAATTTGCACCCACAAAAATTTGTTCCACTCTCTGGATCGCTTAGGGAAAGGATACACAGAAAGTTTCACGTATTAGTGTGATTATGTGCTCCACTTGACTACTCTTTCACTTTCTGGATCACTTACGAGAAGGATGCACAGAAAGTTTCCAAGTTGTCTGTGGTTGTGTGGTAACACTGATTCCTTCCCACTCTCTGGTTCGCTTACGAAAAGGATGCACAGAGAGTTTTCAAGAATAGTTCACACGACCGACTGATTTCTCCTACACCTCTCTGGATCACTTACGAAAAGGATGCACGGAGATTTTCAAATAGTCAGTGGTATTCCTTCCAATTTCTCTTACACCTCTTTGGATCGCTTACGAAAAGGATACACAAAGATTTTCAGATAGTCGGTTGGTTCTTCTTCCTGCCACGCGGGTCTTCTGGCCTCGATTCCTCCGGTTGCAGATAGAATACGAGGTGGCTTCCCTGGTCGATGCACCAATTTGGTGGGAACCAAGTGTTGTAGGCGATAGTGGTTTCGATAATATTATAATTTATCCACAGACGAACATAACAAACACTCGGGGATTCCTTTTATACAAGTAAAAGGGCGGAATCTACCTGAGGACAGGGCGCCGTAGACGGGCTACAGGCTGAAAAGGGGAAGCCGCCGTAAAGGGTCGACTCCCGCTGCACAAATGTCACTCAATGTTCGAGTGATTAGATACTTCACCAAAAGTGGATGGAAATATAGCCTATGGACGCTCCATAGGCTATTCTAAAAATAAGCTCTAGGTTGATGACCAAGAATCATCAACAATTGCCTATGCTGGTGTTCAAGGCACGGCGTGGGCAATTAGGTTTTACAAGGCCTGTAATAATCACACTTTACATAATGAATTTAGCACAATGCATCCTTTAACGTGTCTAAAAAAGTTCGAGTTCATAGAATTTCACTTGAAAGGTTCAAAAACTGACTCTCTATTAATGATCACAGATAATTATACTAAAGTGCGAAAAATTTGCACATAAAACCCTGCAATAATGAAGATGACAGTAAATGACACTGATTGTAGTCGCCTAATCTTGGCAGGCAAAAACTGCGCAGATGTTCGATTTTTGAAACAGTAGCTGCCCACAAATCCGACTTTTAGTTTGAAAAAATTGCGAATTGTAACACCTGTATTTTGTACCTGATAGAAATTTATGCAATCTTCAATTGCACCGCACTACAGAACAGGAACTAAATTCCTCTCAAAGAGCTTAGCATGGCGTGAAAGGATGTAAAATGAAGTTATGGTCTATGATGCCTTTTTTCTGCAACGCGGATATTTTAGCAGTAAGAACATTGTAGCAGACTTCCATAAAGGCTTCTCAAGTTATCTTCAAATCTGCTGTCAGTTAATATCAATTTATCTTGATTTGCGTCACAGCTAATAGAATTTTAGTAGAAGGCCTAGTAGAAGGACTTACACCCTAATGTTGCGGTGCAAGTAATTTTAACTTTGAACCTGGCTGAAAAGGCGTCAGTCACTTGATACACCCTTTTATTCATCAGATTGACGGTGGGTGGGGCTCACGCGCGGCCGTTTCGCCCTTCTCTACAACTCTTTGGCAATCGTGCTCTCTAGCTATCAAAGCTCTGTCTTTTCCACACTCGTTTTGAAAAGATAATCAGAGAGCACCCTCACGAGAGAGGTGTAGTCCGAACATCCGCGCTCACCAGCCGCCACCCCTTATGAATTAAAGGGTATATACTTGGCCGTCAATTTCTCCCACTTTAGAGTAAAAGTAGTAAAAGTAGGAAGTGGTCCTCTTACTAGCCAAATATTCACTAAGGCTGTGTTCATATTGATCCCGAAATTCAGGAACAGTTCCAGAACCGCGTTAAGTTCAAGTGCTGTGATGGAACTGTTTCTGAACTTATGAATCAGTATGAACCCAGCCTAAGGCCTAAGGCATACCTCACGCGACTCTTGTCGCGGCGCGATTTGGCAACGCTCCAGTTGTTCATAACTCATCGTAAGGTTTCTGAATCTACGGAAGATAGTGCATTTTATCAAACTTCAAAAGTTATACATGCTATGCATTTGAGGTCTGCCAGTATTGAACATGAAGAGATCTGGCAAATTGCCAGATCGCGCGGCGACTGAAATCGCCTGAGGTATGCCTTAGGCCTAATGCGCATACTCAAGGACCGCCTGGTCTCACCTATACAGATGGCGGTGACTGTACGCATTTGATTTGATGTATAGTTGACTGCACGGAATCGCCCGGAATGAGCACCGCACGCGTGTTTCTTGCAGGCTAGCAGCCCGTACACGGCAGCCGCGTTGCAGGAACGCTCGCGTGCGTTCAGCCTACAACAGCCCGGGCGATTTCGTGCAGGCGACTTTACTACGCCGGACTTTGTGCATTCTCCGGTCTTCCATAGGGACAAACTATGTTTCGTCTAACGTATAGTGTATTACGTACTTGTCTTTTTTTGATGTTGTCTTGCGGATTTTATAAGACAACATTTTTCTCAAGCTGCGCCTGTGTCAGACATTGCTTGACGCAATGGTTACCCTTTTGGAGATGCAAGGCAAACATAAAGATATTTTAAACTTTGACAGACCAGATGTAGCTTCGAGGATGGTTATAGTCATTACCACAGTTCTAACATATGTGACAATTTTTGCGACAAAGCCTTCATGCTGACAAGGGAGTGGTCATAAGTCGAAGTGACATCTAAACAAGCCGCATACCGTTGGAGCAGCCTAGAACCTAAACCGTCTTCCTTATCTATCAAGCGCTTTTGTAGACGAAGCTATAAGCCGTCATGAGCCATAATATTGCTAAAAAGTGCAAGCATACTGCGAATTTGGCCGTACAGAACCCAATTTGGCTACAGGGCTTAAAACACGCAGATATGTTACTTTATATAGCCTATACCCAAAGATGAGCTAAAAAGGCAAGATGTGCTTAATTCGATTACAATTTCCTCACAATAAAACTGCTCATACTTCGTCTACCAAGCGTTCAGCAGATTCGGAAGACAGATTGTTAGCGTCTGCGTTGCTTCCAATGATATGCAGCTTATTTCGGTTCGGTTACTTATATTTCTACCCTTCTCTGAAAAGATCTATCGAAATTACTGCGGTTGGATTAGTACAAACAGTGTCCTTCTTCCATCGGGTTATGAGGGGATTGTGAGTGGAGCAAGGTGGCTTACTAAAAACTTTTTCCGGCCAATCTTTGGTGGTTTTTGAAAAGCTTTTACGAAGCTTCATGAGCTATATCCTCAGATATGCTTAAAAAGAATAGCTTGGGAGGGACGTCATTAGTGTCGGACCGCTAGGTGGGGGGGGGGGGGAGGTCCGACACTGGTGATGTCTCCCAAGCGACCCATTCTCGGAGGGAGGGGGGAGAGCCAGAATGGGTCGCGAAATGTTTGAAATTTACTAATAGGTGTTATAAAAAAACCAAGAACTTGTTTATTCTTGTGAATAATTGGAACTTTCAAAGTTTTTTCAAAAATCCAAATTAGCTTTGTAAAAAAATTTTTTCGCGGCGTGGCGGCTGGGCCCACAATTTTGTGGCTGACGCCACGCACCTCCATTTAGAAAAAATTCTGCCGCGCCCCTCTCGGACGGTCTTCGAACCGCCACGGCTTATCACATAAAAAAGAAACACTCGAAATTTTTCTAACGTGAGCTTCAAATCTTAAATATATAATGATATTCGATTCTGAGAATGACATCTCACTACAGTCGCTTCATTTCATATGATCATGTGTGCCATTGCACACACAGTTCACCTTTGGCGTCCCCATCCTGGATTCGTGGGAGAAACAAGCCTTCAGGTAAGTGTTTACAAGGTGTTCTTAGCATTTTCTTTCCTTTTTAGTTACTAGTCACCTCAAATTGATGTAATCGAAACAATCGGTAGGTCTCTTGCGTTTTTGCGATTAAAAATCAAGGATGAGGACGCCAAAGTGGACTGTGTGTGCAATGGCACACATGATCATATGAAATGAAGCGACTGTACCTATGTGTTAGAATTCGATAAAACGTTCTTGAAGAGCACTGAACAGAATGAACAGATTTCCCCACTGCATTAACCTTATAGGGCCAAAAACCCCAGTGTGTATTATTCAGCGAATAATCCCGGTGCTGTTCAAGGTTCAATAGTGTGTACATATTTGTTCAACTGCCTCGCACTTGTATATATATACATATTGCCCAATAAAACACTTGTCAATGAGAAGAATTGACTCCGACGGCTGGTTATGTTCTCTCCTTGATCCTAAAACTGGTCAGTGTGAGATATACGAGGACTTTTCCATCCCGCTATAAATGTAAGGACACAATTAGTCGTAATAGCGCATTCCTAAACTTTGGGAAAATTCTGATTACTTTAGAACCCGAGATTCATTTCTAAGACATCATCCATACACAGACACCCGCATCTGCCAAAAAATTGAGCATTACATGTACCAAAAGTAGAGTGCAGTAACTAAGACTCTATGAAAATATTTACTCACTGGAAGTGGTAACGAAGGAGAGCTTAAAAGGGTAGGGGATTAGGAAGTGAACAAAGTACTTGCGAAAAAATGGCAGGTTAAATGTGTGGCGGAGAGAAGGGGTGATGCAAAGCATCCTTTCATTCGACGCTGGTCCCATCCTTCAAAAAGCTCATAAAGGGGGACAATTATGAAAAAAACGACTATATATCCAAGCTATTTTAGCGCGCACAACAATTTTTGCGCTTACCGTGCTGGAATCTATCAAAAACACTTTAGGACGAAAAGTCATCCTGCTGCTAATTTACTTTAAATGATAAAGAGTGGATGTCATATCTGTTTTACTTTACCCGTAAGATTACTTTTTTCAATTTGAGACCTCTATCTGTTTATCATCATGCACATTGGTGTAAACAATGCAGTAAAGTTCATTTCAATTTTGAAGTGTAAAAGACTCAGTTACTCCAACCAACCTTTCTGAGGTAAACTCATGCAGGAGGGTAAGGGGGGGGGGTCTTTCAGTGCAGCATTGAGACTCAAAAAAGAATACGGCTGAACCAAAAACGACTGGAAGGAGGAAAGAGAAAGTTTGGTTCTTTGCTATCGCCCTGGACGATGACTCGGCTTGGATCGGGAGAACCAGCTAGTGCCACATAAAATGGTCATAGCCTTCGCCTTTTGGAGGAATTTTCTGCGAAAACGGCACCGTATCTGAGTTTTTCATCGAGAATGAGGTCTTACTTGCACCTGGTTGACAATCGATGAGATCGATAAAGGTAATCGATCACTTTGACGATCAATATTATAAACGCAATCGGCATGCTCATTTAGCCTCCCGCGCTCATTACCAGTCGCATAGCTCAAAGTTCGCAAAAAAATCGATAAATTAGATAGAAGTCATCGTTTTGAAAACGAATTTTGTACTTGTAACAATGCTCGTATCCCCTGTGCCAATTTTCAACCCGTAGCCCAAGGTTTGGAATATATAACTGATATCCACCGATAGCAAAAAGAGCCTATAACACCCGTCCCACCCGTATTATGTGTGCAATGTGGTCTAAGTCGGTTCTGAAATAGAAGCTTCTATTTGGAACACTAGCACAACAAACAGACAAACAGACATTACAGACATTAAACTTTGTATAAATAATTCTAAGATATGAAACTACACGTCGATATGTATGCTTTATATGTGAGCATTTTGAACTTAATCTGCAGAATTTGCAATAAAAATCAAAAATTGTAAATGTGATAACGCAAAAATGTGCCCTGATAACACCACAGTACATACATAATAAATAACTGAGTAAATAGATTAGATTTCTGTTTCCATGGGACAAATTCTAGCTCATAGGGTCGTGTAAAAAACTGAAACAAAAAGGGAAATAAAATTACAAAGTAAGCATTTGAAAAGTTCTCACCAAGAACAAAGATCGCCCATAATGCTGCCTTTGGCGCAGATCCATTGTTTGGGTCATTTGGGTCAGTCTCGCAATACTAAAGCGATTCGATTAAGCGTGTAAGATTTGCATCAAAAAGGTTATAAAAATAGCCTTCATATTGTGAATTATCATGTCACGGATAAGGCCGTTTTACTACTCTGAAAAAAATAAGTCACCTCAGCCATTGGTACTTCGGGCTTGTACTTTGATGCAATTTTTCTAAATACGTCTAAATCACAGTATTCTTTGCCGTTGCACCCTTCAATTTCTTTGGTTACAGAATAAATATCAAGAGACTTTTCGTGCGGATGGTACAATACCTAAAAGCAGATTTCAACAAAAAAAAGAAGCATGCATTATGCAACAGACATTGAAGAATGGCTTGTTGGATTTATCCAGCCATAATTCCACGAATGTGGCAGCAGCATACTCTGGAAGCAGACCTGGCACTACAACCTTCCGTCCAATTCCGAGTAATGTCAAAAATTGGTATACGGTAGAATCGTGCTGAAATTGAAAAAATAATTACACAGACACTAAAAATTGTGTGTCTGCAATCTCACGCTGTGTCCAAAGTTGCTTAGGTGCCGACGCCGTGTCAGTGCCGTGCCGGAACCCACATGGATTCACTGGGTATTGATCTATCGATCCAGCCGACATAGTTTTGGAAAAGAGCTAACACAGCACTGAGCATCGGTGGACGGCACTGGCGCGAGCAACTCTGGACGCAGCCTAAGCGGCGAACACAGATAAAAGAAAAGACTATGAACTTGTTGACTATGGAATTCTCATATCCTTAGCAATGATTTTTTCCTGCAACCGATAAAATTTCTTGCTCTTGATTGATGGCTTTACTTAAAAACAAATTTTTTGGTCTAAAGAAGACCCTACCACTGAGTATGCATAGTATTGTAGCTCCTTCATCCATGCGCATTTCTTATCCTTACTATCCCAACAGTCTAGTTTCAAGTCCATGTGATCCGCGATCTCATTGAAAAATGGCCCTCCTCGGACTTTCATCAGCTCATGACCAACGTCAAGTCCATTAACAATAAGAGGTTTTTCTGCAACAACGAATATTCCAATAACTGCTAGAATAAAGTACAGAATAGACTTTAGGTAAGCAGAAAGGAAAGTTTTGAGTTTTCAAACTTACGGTAGCTTCGTCATTGTTTGCCGCGCCTAGCAGGGCAACTCTGAGGGCTGTTTAAGGCAATCATGTACCGATAAAACAAGGCGAATAGGGTGGGTTATTCATCGATAACGGTTCCAGGTTTTTCGGAAGCAGCGGGGGGGGGGAGGAGCACAAGATGGAACCCACTAGTTTGGAAATTTGAAAATTTCAAAAAATGTCCTATCATTCACAAGAATGAACACGTCAGTGCACAGTTTAGTCACTTAAGTCGCGATCGACCCATCCTCTCCCCCCAACCTCCTCCCCCCCCCCCGCCTCACAACAAGTATTCGTGTTTTGGTTATGCGCTAGTACGATGGTTTTCGTCATAAGCACAAATCTCTGAGAATAAGCAGCTTTTCGTACAGTCGATAAGAGAGAACAAAAAGATGTGGCGCAACAAGCACACGAGAGCCTCCATTTCAAAAAATTCCTGAAATTTTCAGAATGGTCTGAATGGCTTGTAAAATTGATATTGACTCCTTCGCATGTAAGTGAGATAGAAACATTCCGGGGATGACTACCACCATTTGCGCTTTTACATGAGTTAAATTTTGCAGATGACTTGCTTACGTATAAGAAAATGAAATGAGGTTTTGAGTTTTGTAATAACTTGTTAGCTCTAAGTTTTCTGTATTTGATCACATCCCAAAGTTTCTTCGGGAACATGTTTGATGCCACGTCCTTTCATCCAAGGAAGTTTCTGTCTCCGCACCCTCTCAAGTTTTCTGGATTGCCACTTGTAGGCAGTAACTCCCCTGATTCAATATAACCATCCACCAATAGCTCGTTATTGTCTTACATATTTCGAATTCCAAGACAGCTATGCAGCTATTGCCGAAATTTCGTGCATCACTGTTTCCTTCTCATCAGAGGACTACAATACAGAAAAATTCCTAACTCAAGAAAGCACGAAGATAAAGGAAACTAGCGTTGAGCAAAATTTGGTGACTGGATTCTTCTTTTTTATAAGTATCAAGGATATTTCCCATAGGACTACCAATCGTCGGACCTAACTTTTTCGGTGCGCGATTCGAAATAAAAGTGCTGTAATCAACTACGATTGTTGTGTTTAGAGTGCAAGTTCTTGACAGATCACTACCGCTGGGCCTGTCCGTAAAACAGGGTGCTTTGCTTTCCATTCGGCTAGAACATAGTTTCCCTTCCTTTTTTGTTTCGTGATGTGTCCAAAAAATAATGCAGAGGTATTATTCGATAAGATTATAGGCAGAAATTGATGAAAGACAAAAGACATGGAAATGCGATTAGGAAAAGTTCGTCTCTCTCTAAACCTTCAAGAAAAAGCGTCTCAAAATATAAAGTGGATACTGTTAATACTCTTAAATTTACAATATCGCTCACAGAACGTGCAAAATTTCTGCATAACTTCCTTCGGAATGAATATGTTTCAAATCCGAAGATATCATTGTGCTCAGCTCATCGAAAGTTCGATAATTTTTTTGCAGACGTCTTTTCGCAAGCATATAACGCAGCGCACAATATGCACTAAAGAGAACCACTCGATAGTGCTGTTTTCGCAGATTATCGAGCATTAGAAAAGTCGGAAACTTATCTTATTTTCCAGAGAAATATTATGGAAGAGCGTGGATCATGGAGAAAATGCTGTCAAATTTGTCCTTTTTAGTGCGGATTACGCAGCAACATAGAAGGAATTTATACGTTTTAGCACGTTGACGACAACGCGAATTTTCAACTGTCTGCCTTGTGGGACAATGCCTTACAGACAAATCAAAAATTTCCAACTGAAATCACGCAGATCGTCATTTAAACTATACCTACACAAATTCTTGAAAGCAGCCAAGAAACGTCAAGGTATGCTCTAGGGATAGAGCCTAGAAGACCTCATGAAACGGATGTAACCAGTAATTGTTATCATTTCAACAACATTTATGCCGTGACCCACTATGTGGGTCACATTGTCCCACGTGGCAGTCATTGCATGACCCACCATGTGGGTCACGCTGTCGCCAATGTGTTAAAGTCTGAACTTCAGATTTGTTAATTCTAGTGGTGTGCAAACATTACTCCGCGCGTGAAGGGCAAGAGTTAAGCAGTCTCGGTCGCTGCACTTCTGTTTGCATAGCAGAAACTAGTGTTTCCGTCTCAGCGCTCAGAGTCACCTGTGTTTACAACTGACTCCACCCTTCGAATGAAAAATCAAATCTAGGGAAGCACAAAAAATGGCAGTGGTTTACTAAAGGGAAGGCACTGATTACGCAACTTGGAGAGATAATTCCAAGATGTTTTGCATAGTTGCAGAACGGATCTGGGTGGAAAGTTGTTGGCTTTGGTTCGCGGGAAAATTATCAGAGTGAAAGTGGCCGGATCCTTCATGGCTCATGTATTTTGACCTCACCCGTCAAAGCTAATCAATCTTAGTGTTCTGATTTTTTTTAACTGTTAATCTGTAGTGCGCAACAAGAGTTTTGAACGATCTCCATGACCACGAGTTACTCTGGGCAGGGCAAATTTTTATGGGATGCTCTCCCAGAACTTTCGCTCAATTCGTTTTGAAGCTATCAGAAGTTTTGATGTCAGCTTTCCAAGCTGCCTGGGGAGATACCTACCTTGTTACAAACTGCTTCTTGCAATTAGAGTTAAACGACTATAACTCACCAAATAGTGAATATTTGAAGCCTTCCGTGCGACTGTACATAGCATCTATCTTTTTATACAATTCCTCATTGAACCATGGAGTTCTTTCTTTCAGCTCTTTTGGGAAGTGAATTTGCTGTAAAACAGAGAGATACACTCAAGTTGATTCCATCTTGAACTGGAGAACTTCAACAACTTTAGTTGTCGCTTCAAAAAAAAAACTTCTTCATTAATTGATTATCGAAGTATAAAAATTAATATCTATTTATGCATTTAGCGATGTTTAAACTCATGCGCAACTTTAGCAATATCAATAGACGTTACAATCGAATCTCAATAAACGGCTCGTACTTGACAAGGTGGAATAATTAGTACAAGCTTCTAGAAAGCACATTACTCAGGATGGTGCTACTACCGCTGCTACGTTCAGAAAACTTCTAGTGACATAATTGTGTGTAGTACGCTTTTTGCTCTTTTACTAGTTCGTCATATTAACCAGATGTTTTAGGGTGAGGGCCGAAGCAAAAGAAGACAACATTACTTGTAGAATCCATTGTAATTATTTTTGGCTACCAATACTATAAAAATCAAGATTTCAACAAATCAAAGAGGAGACAAATTGTATAAATTACGTTTTTCTAGTTGTGCCTCATTTTTGGACACTGGATGTTTTTAACGACATCATTACTAGGCTGCTGCATAAGTCTGTTCGTTTTTTAACGTGTTTGAAGCAGCCGTTTTAAGAGATTTTTACATGTAATGCGCGATATTATCTGTACCTTTAGAAAGCGCTTTATCTAACACATATCATATTTTAATAGAATTTCCAGTCTGAATAGATTGCAGACCTGTGATCCCCAGGTTGTCGAGAAAACAGATTCTCAACTAAAAATATGCTCTTGAGAGAAAATTCTTGTATCGGTTACGGAATAAGGGTGAAACAGTCCAGTATATACACGAACTCATTTTCTTGTAAAAAACGTCTTGCCAGCAAAATTTGTTGTTGGAGAATAATTGTTTGCACAAATCCCACAAGCAATTTTTCTTGAATAGAAGCAATTGATGAGTCTGATGTTGAAGGTCTAGGGTGAAGCGAGAGCTTCCACCCGCCAATTACTTTTTATTCCTCGCAACAAGTGTAGAATTTTCATAATTTGAAAGTTAGCATGCATACATGTACTGATTCAAGGTTAAAAAATGGCTTCGTTTTTATTCAGCCAAAAAATCTCTCGGCACCGAAGACCCTACGGGCAGTTCTAAGGAATAGAATAATCTTCGAAGTTTTCTCTTTCTACCCATTGCTACTTAACATGCCCGTCAGTTCTCATAAGGAAGCATTGCCATGTCAAAAAGACATGCTTGAAGAAGAACGCTGTGAAGTTTTTGAGTTTATGCTTCTTCTTTTACCGGGTTTTTCGCGAGATCTAGCATTTCTCTGGTTAGCCTAGGAACTGCTCAACACATGGAAACTAAGATTATGGGAAAGAGTTGATCTTGAAAGAAGTTGTGATATTTTGAATTTGCAAATTCAAATAGGGCAGAACTTAAGGAGCCCGATATATAGCACTGAAACTGAACATACCTCAATATACAACGGATCGCGGACAACGCTAATGTCATCTAGTGGGATTGGCTGTCCACACTTTTTTTCAAGGTCTTCCAAAAGTTTTGAGACCTAAATTTATCTGCATATTATTTTCTGAGGATAGTTCCTAACCAATCCAGCATTCTATAAATCTGAGAAACTCGCATTATTCTTGTATTCTTGGACTTCCTCTGATTCCATTACCATTTTCCATAACTTATTTCGACGATTGCAGTCTGCATCGGGATGGCCCACCTTGAGAATTTATTTCATTAAAAAATAGAGTACACAGCCAAAAACTCACATAATCAGTCGGTTTATGCAATGTATGAATAGCAATAGGAACGTAGAAAGCGGGCCAGCCAGTTAAATTTTTTGGAAAATCTTTTCCAGCTTCATGTTTGTTGCTTTCTTGGCCATACATTCCAATCATATTGCTCATAGCAGATACTATAGTTCTATTCGTGTCTGTTGCTCGAACATAAATCTGCAAATCATGAAAATGCCTAGAAATCATTTTTCAATCTTGTTCTAGCTAATTACCTTACTGGAAGAATACTGAGGTGGAAGGAATTTCAGTAGATCAACATATCTTCCTCGAATCAATTTACCTAACTCCATTTGTTGGTACATACCTTCCTAAAATTACATTTATTTCTATGAGAACATTTTGAATTATGTGAAGAATATAAATGCTTATAATTACAGTCATTAGAGGTGAAGCTTCACGCACAGACTCAACATTTCTAGCTATAAAGAACTGAAGACTTCAAATTGTGATTTTTCAGTTTTTTGTCCATTTTTTATACTAGCTTCATTTGTCTCTTTGTATGCAACTTATATTCTTCCTTTGTAGCCATAGCTCCTTCGGGCATCAAGTAACTGCAGACATTTGAATTTCTGATTGCCTAAATCTTTACCGGCGTCAATTGCTCGAATCCACCACCACCTTTGGTCCAGTTTGCTTCTCGGAAAGGATCACTTGTGAATGTTTTCGTCGGCGTGCGATCTCCATGTCTCCACATCTGTCATTGAAAAATGATCTGAATTAGTTGATTGCATCATCGAATTAGATTGCACAACTTGTTTTCTCAATGCGAAAAGCTTCGCGCTTTCATAAGTGTTTGAACAGCGATTTACATCCTACACGGTTTTATGTATACAGCTTCTTAACACCGAAAACTAGTTTTCCTCGAAAACGTTCTGAACAAACTCTGCGCTGATAAAAGTTCCGAAAAGTCATGACTCAATCAGAAAGTTTGAAGAATATCTCCGCAACTGAGGATTTGTCTATGCCAAGGTGAGAAGTCACAAAGCGGCTCCCTAGAAGGAAAGACCAAAACGCCATTCTTCTCTACCACATTATTTCTGTTGTGAAGAAAATTACTAAATTACTTGAAATCAAAAGAAATGCTCTTGGAAATACTCCTGAACTCTTTGACCAAATTAAAAAGTTGTAATAACAATTCTAGCATTACAACGAATCCCATCTTCATCTACAAAAAAAACGATCTTTGCCGGAAACATCAGTAATGAATTTTCGAGAAAACCAATTTTGCAAGGTGTGCGGGTAGTTTAACCCATATCAATAACTAACTCTAACTTTCATTGCTTTACATTAACTCCTTAACAAACAGTCTCACAAAATCTCACCGACTATAAAATAGTCATTTCGTAAGCAGAGTGTGACTAATATGTACGTTCCAGACGTTCGCTTTGCCTTATTCAAGCAATCTAATATCACGAACAGTAAGCTGAGTTGTATTTTCAAAACCCACGGCTTGGACGAGTAACAGCTTCATCGTATCGTTGCTTTCCTGTGCGAATACGGCTTGAAGTGTGATCAAAAGAATAAGGAAGATCATTGTAAATGTGAAAGTGATGCTGAAATTGGAAGGTGATAGTGAAGAAGAAAGAGATACGAAATAGATAATGCGATGGGTGGAGAAAACTTAAAAAGGAAACTTAGGAGGCTACTTCTTTTCTCAAATTAAAATCACGACATTGCTAGCAATTCTTGGCTGGTTTGATTGACTAAAAAATGAATCATCTTTTATTTGAGTGGAAAGACTGCGTGACAAGTGCTACTGCACTTCAAGAGTGGTAAATAATCAATAGAAGAATAACTGAGTGTGCATTGACAGTGGTACTGATAAAAGGATAAGTGTTGAAGGAAGAAAGAATTTTCAGAAGTGCAAACCTGTGTCGAGACCAATTGTCAACACTTGAACCGTTGCTCTCAACGTTTTTTATAATAACTTTGATGTTTGTAGGATTCTATCGTGTACATAAGGACACACTTCGTCCCTCTCCACGTGAGCGCATTTTGCACTTTGGCGACATTTCCAGACAATTAGTATTCAATCAACAAAGTGACAAGTACTAGGATTAGTCGAATAAATGAGCACATTTTATGCTCAGATCAATCTTTCGGCAAATCGGATAGAATAAATAATAGACAAGTACTTAGAGAAGTACATAAACTTTTTTTCCTTTTTCAAGCTTATGTTATAGTGCTGATTTTTCCCTCAATTATGGAAGAGATTCCCAAAATTTCTAGTTAATCGTCACAAACTTTGTTTTCAAAGATGGAGCAAATTATTAAGTTGTTACATAAGTTTTGTTACAGTTTCTTCGTTTTCCTTTGAAAAACTCTAGAAAATTCGGCAAGATCTCGTATTTGGCATATATGGGGAAGGGATAAAGGGCTATCCGCTGGCTCCATTTATGTCATAACCATATGACTTACAGTGAATATGGAGGCAACTCTATAAGGGCACCTCAACCTCCATTTTTTTATTTTCTAAATCTCCCTTATTCTTTTTTTCCACCATTTTAGATTTTTTATTGGCTTCTGGGAGAACTGATAGTAATACTAAGGCAGTTTGGAATTTTAAGCTCTTCAATAACCAAAGTTGGAAACTCGCCAAAAACAAGAAAATTTCAAAAAACTCGAAAATTTAATTTTTTATGTGTGGCGATATAACAAAAATCTGCACGTTACACATAATTTGGAGGTAAAATTATTTGACAAAGTTATGAGGATTTTTTCAATCGAGTATAACATAACTTATGTATTAGGTTGTCCGGAAATTAATGCCCGTTTTAAATTCCAACCGCGCTAAGTCATATACTTCTCATCTTTAAATGGGTTGCAAAGTACCATTCGATAGAGCAAAGCAAGCTCTACAAGATGGCCATCTTGCTTTTGCAACAGCTTTGATCCATCTCGAGTTTCGAGCCAAAAACTAAAAAGACTCACCAGTCCGAAAAATCGAAAAAAATCGTAACTCAGTTCATAAAAATCCTACAAAAATTCTAATTTGCTTGCGTAAACACTATCCACATAAGACATCAATATATGCCGTTGCCGTATTTTTTTCTCTGTTAGAAACCAAGGAAACGGAAATTTTCGTGCATTTGCCAAAGTGATGCTGTGCCGTCCCCGCATAGGTAGTTGTATACCACAAATCTGTAGAAGTACAGACTCAAATTTCCAGCTCTCTACAAGCTTTAGTTCTCAAGAAATACCGAATATAGCTTTCCTTACTTAAGTGGTCCAAGCTAAAATTCAAATTTCTCGAGAACTAAAGCTTGTAGAGAGCTGAATATTTAAGTCTGTATTTTCAGGCTTGTGGTATACAACTACCTATGTGGGGACGGCACAGCATCACTTTGGCAAATGCACGAAAATTTCCGTTTTCTTGGTTTCTAACAGAGAAAAAAATACGGCAACGGCGTATATTGATGTCTTATGTGGATAGTGTTTACGCGAGCAAATTAGAATTTTTGTGGAATTTTTATGAAATGAGTTACGATTTTTCTCGATTTTTCGGGCTGCTGAGTCTTTTTAGTTTTTGGCTCGAAACTCGAGATGGATCAAAGCTGTTGCAAAAACAAGATGGCCATCTTGTAGAGCTTGCTTTGCTCTATCGAATGGTACTTTGATATCTATTTAGAAGTGAAGAGTGTATGACTTATTGCGGTTGAAATTCAAAACGGGCATTAATTTCCGGACAACCTAATAACAACCTAATATCTCCAATGCAAATCTCTTTAAGGTTTTCCAAACAGCTTTTTGAGGTTGAGATAAATGATTTCTTCGGAAGCTCAGTTTTGCAGAATTGCGTCAAGTAAAGTTACAGGAAACCTTCTAGAATCCTCAAAATTTGGAAGCTTTGAAACAGTTAACATTTTGATTTTTAAAGTAGTCAGTTACGGCTTCAAAAAATCATGATTCAAAATTTTTGGACACATTTATGCGAACTGTGAAATCTGAATATAGACACCTTTCCGTACAAAGCTTCTGCTATCATTCCAATATGTTAGAGAGGATTTAGATGAAAAGCGCTGGAGTGAGAAAGAAAAACTGCGTCGGATACAATCGGGGCTTTTGCTTATCTGATCTATAGTCCCAAAAGGAGATGTAAAGTTCTCATCATTTATGACCTACGCTAGTATGGTAGGTAATGGATCCACTTCGAAAACTCAACTCTTGAAGATAGATCTTGATAAAACGTACGTTAAAATTGTTGAATAATAATTACCAGGAAGTAAGGAAAATAGATAATTGCTATACTTCCTATACTTTAGCCAAGAGCATGGGTTCAGGAGTAATTTGCTCGGTATAACTATAGTTGGTGTAGAGCATTTACACTAAAAAGAATGAAAAAAGCGCTAAAAAAGATCAAAGCGCTCAAATTGCGCTTCCAACAAAGCATCAAAGCGCTCGAGATTTTTTATTTTATTTTATTTTATAAATACACCGAGGTGGCTCGATTTTTCTTTTCGACATATCTCGCGTGTAGCAGATAACCACACAAAGATCTTAAATTATAAATTATATTTTTGTGGTGTATTTTTTTTATTCTGCGTATGAGAGATATCCGGAGCAAAAAATACAGGAAAAATTCACAAATTGTTCATGGATACACCCGATCAGCCAGAACTCTCTTCGCTAAAAGGGTAGATCTTGAAACACTCATGAAATAGCAGCAAGTTGTTGACTTTTAGCATTCTTGGCAGGTTTAAAAATATCTACGGTTTGAGTGTTCCTTATCATTAGCTTATACCATCATGAGGCTAACATTAATTCTAGCCATCAACACTATTGGAACTGCTAATTTTTGCTTTCTGAGCTATGCTGATCGGACGAATTATTTGGAAGTCTAAAAATCAAGCCTTCCAAAATTTTCTTCAAAACCTAACGAAATAAGGTATAGGTCGTTTTTCAGAATCATGACGACTGTTTTGACTGCGGACTTTGCGGCCACGGGAGCATAAAACACTCATGCAGGAAGACACCGCTACACCGCCTCAACGCTCAGCTCAGTCACTTTCAGTGTCTAAATACTATCATATGTGAGCAAAAAAGCCATGCGATTAGAGACGAAAACCAAGAAAATGCGATTTCTAGAAGTGGCGTGCATGTAGCGCGCGGTCGCGCCATCGTCATGATTTTTCAATTGCACTATAGCCTTTAGTTGAGCGGCTTACAAAAGCAAAAAATGACCGGCGAGGGTCAAAACGATGAGATAAGCGTTACTCGATGGAACTGTGCATTAACATTCAGTAAGAAAGTCAGCCAACGCCTTAGTGTATCCAATCGCGGAATGGTGACCATTTTAGATCGTTAAATAATAAAAGAGTCTCCTTTTTTGCAGAAAACCTCGTAAGCAACAATGCCAAGATCTGCTTCGTTTTCGGCCCATCAAACTTTGATGTATTCATTACAATCAATAACGATGCGATTCACTCGTCAAGGTTATCTTTACAGGAAATTCCGTCACATTCATTCTACGACTAGGAGACGCGAGACCGCATTGCACACATTGTCTAAACAAGCTTAATCGTGTACCCAGCAGGTTTATACTTGTTATTTCTCGTCCAGGTTTACTCGCTCTTTAGAAACACGGAAGAACGAACTCAAACTTGTTAAGACAATGTCCGCAATGCAGTCTCGCGTCTTCTAGTCAAAGAATAGATTATAACCTCAAGTCATTTGTAACTTAATATGTGAGAGTGCACACTAAGCCCTATTAGCGACGGCACCCTTACTGGTAACTTTCCAGTGGAAGATTTTCTAGCCTAATAAAAGGTAGAAATGTGTTCTGTTGATCAGCATGAAATCAACAGAAACAAAAGAGACAAGGGAACAAGCAGAAATCGCTTGAATTGAGCAGGTTCTAGTTGTGCTGTTCGTCAGTTAGCGTGTTTAGTGTGCACTAGGCATGTTAAGTTATGAATGACTCGACGATATGTATTTCGAAACTACTTATCACAACTTTTGATTGCATGAACATAACAAATCCATCAAAAAAGAAGGCTTCTCATTTTTTGAAGATTAATTGAGAGGTATGTATTAGGTTGTTACATAAGTCTTGTTACACTTTAATTTCTTAGGCGATAAGTCATGCACCTCATTCATTACAAGGCTCCAGGGTACCGTTCGATAGGGCGAATCAATCTCTGCAAGAAAGTGCGCAAAGTTCGCACCAACTCCGACCCACCATAAGTTTGCGTCCAAATCTGAGTCGCGCTGAAAGCTCAAAAAATCGCGAAAAATTCATATCTTTGTTCAAAAAAATCCTACGAATCTCCAACTTGCTCATAAAAATTTCACACTATATCAGACACTCATATGTACCGTTGCTGTATTACTTCCTCATCTAGAAATTGAGAAAACGAAAATTTTCTTGTTTTTACAAAAACGGAGCTATGGTGTTTCTAGATATGTAGCTATATACTACAAGCCCTTAGAAGTATAGCCGTAGATTTTCAGCTTTCTAGAAGCCTTAGTTTTCGAAAAACGAATTTAGCTTTCTTCACTCCGGTGTTTGATGCTAACTTCGGTATTTTTCGAGAACTAGGGCTTCTGGAAAGCTGAAAATTTACGGCTATACTTCTAAGGGCTTGTAGTATATAGCTACATATCTGGAAACACCATAGCTCCGTTTTTATAAAAACAAGAAAATTTTCGTTTTCTCATTTTCTAGATGAGGAATAAATACAGCAACGGTTCATATGAGTGTCTGATATAGTGTGCAATTTTTATGAGCAAGTTCGAGATTCGTAGAATTTTTTTGAAGAAAGATATGAATTTTTCGCGATTTTTTGAGCTTTCAGTACGACTCAGATTTGGACGCAAACTTACAGTGAGTCGAAGTTGGTGCGAACTTTTGCATAACATCTTGTAGAGCTTGCTTTGCTCTATCGAACGGTACCCTGGGGCCTTGTAA